TTGTTTATCGTGGAAGGTTTTAATTTCATCCTCCATCCTGAAGCTTAATTTCGCTGGATACACAATTCTTGGTTGGAACCCATTTTCTTTCAGTGTTTGAAATATGTTATTCCAGGATCTTCTAGCTTTCAGAGTCTGTGTTGAAAGATCAGCTGTTATCCTGATTGGCTTACCCCTAAATGTAATCTGCTTCCTTTCTCTTGTAGCTTTTAAAATTCTCTCCTTATTCTGTATGTTGGGCATCTTCATTATAATGTGTCTAGGTGTGGATCTCTTATGATTTTGCACATTCGGCGTCCTGTAGGCTTCTAGGATTTGGGATTCTGTCTCATTCTTCAAGTCTGGGAAGTTTTCTTGTATTATTTCATTGAATAGACTGTTCATTCCTTTGGTTTGGAGCTCTGTACCTTCCTGTATCCCAATGACTCTTAAGTTTGGTCTCTTAATGTTATCCCATATTTCTTGGATGTTCTGCTCATGGTTTCTTAACAGTCTTGCTGAGCTGTCTATGTTCTTTTCCAGTTGAAATACTTTGTCTTCATTGTCTGATGTTCTATCTTCTAAGTGTTCTACTCTGCTGGTAGTATTCTCCATTGAGTTTTTAAGTTGGTTTATTGCTTCCTGCATTTCTAGGATTTCTGATTGCTTGTTTTTTATAACCTCTATCTCCCTGTATAGTTGATCCTTTGCTTCCTGGATTTGTTTGCGTAATTCGTTGTCAAAGTGATCTTTCATTGTCTAATTTTGCTGTTTAATGTCTTCCTTGATACTCCAGATCATCTGAAGCATGTATATCCTGAATTCTTTATCTGACATTCCATCTGCTGCAGCTGTTACCTCTTCTAAAGTTGCGTTGACCTGCATTGCTTGTGGTCCTTTCTTTCCTTGTCTTTTCATACTGCTTGCGTATCTTTCCTGCAGGTGCGGGCGGCGGCTCTGCTCTCTCCTTATTCCAATTGGGGTGTCGTGGCTACCACGCCGGCAGGTCACTGGGCCTGTTCTGGGAGCTGGCAGAGGCTCTGTTCTGCCCCTACTCCAATTGGGGTGACGAGTGTACCACGCCGGCAGGCCACCGGGCCTGATCCGCCGGTCGGTTGCAGGTTTGCCTACCCTGCAGGCGCAGGCGGTGGCTCTACTCTGCCCCTACTCCAAATGGGGTGACGTGTCTGTCGTACCGGCAGGCCACTGGGCCTGTGCCGCTAGTCGGTCGCAGATCTGCCCACCTTTCGGGCACGGGTGGAGGCTCTGCTCTGCCCCTACTCCAATTGGGGTGTCGTGACTACCCCGCCTGCAGGACGCTGGGCCTGTTCCTGGCACGGGCGGCGACTCTGCTCTGTCACTACTCCAATTAGGGTGGTGTTTGTACCACGCCGGCAGGCTCCTGGGCCTGATCCGCCGGTCTGTTGTAGGTCTGCCTACCTTGGAGGCGCGGGCGGTGGATCTGCCCTGCCTCTCCTACCACGCCTGCTGACCCCTGGGCCTGATCTGCAGGTTGATCACTGGTCTGCTCACCCTGCGGGCACGGGTGGCGGTTCCGCTCCTCCCCCACTCCAATTGGGGTCACGTGACCACCACACCGGCAGGGCCTGATCCGGGCGTGGGAGAAGGATCTGCTCTGCCCCTACTCCAGTTGGGGTGACGTGTGTACCACACTGGCAGGCCACTGGGCCTGACCCGCCAGGCTGTCACAGGTCTGTTTACCTTGCAAGCGCGAAGGGCGGCTCTGCCCTGCCCCTCCTACCACGCCCATGTACCACTGGGTCGCGGGTCTGCCCACCTTGCGGGTGCGGGTGGCGGCTCCGCTCCACCCCCTCTCCAATTGGGGTCACGCGGTCACCACGCTGGCGAGCCGCTGGGCCTGCTCCGGGCGCTGGCGGCGGCCCGGCTCCTCCCCTCTGGCTCGAGGACAAATTGAGGAGACTCGGGTGACTGAGCCTCACCCCCCTTACCAGGAGACCAACTGTTTCTGTCACTGCTGGTATTGATGAAGTTCTCTCCTCCGCCGCTTTCTGCTGACATCAGATCTCTGCCATGTTGGTATCCTATGCGAATGGCAGCATTTCGTTCCCCTTGCCGGGCAACCCAAGCAACGGGTGAGTCCTGACCGGCCCTCAGCAGGACCCGGACCGAGACGCAGTTTCCGCGGGCTCCTAGCCCCGGTCCAGGGAAGTTCAGGGAGCCGGAACTCGGCCGTTCCGTGCTCCGTGTAAGCTCCTATAAGTGTAAGCTCCAAGAAGCAGTCCCCGCGGGCTCAGTTCCGGGAGCCGGAATTCGGCTGCTTAGTGCTTGGTGTATGCTCTGATAGTAGCAGGGTCCATGAAGCAGCCTCCGCAGGCTCCGCAGCCCTGGGCCAGGGCGGTTCCGGGACGGTTCCGGAAGCCGGAACTCGGCCGCCCCGCGCTCGGTATTCACTCCGATAAGATCAGATTCTAAGAAGCACCCAGGTGCTGAACCCTAGCAATCTGTCTGCAAGCCGCAGGCGAATTGCAGCCTGAAATTACCTGTTCTATGGCTGAATGAGCTGCGGTCAGTCGAAAACAGGGAAGGTGACGTCAGTTTACCAACATGGTGGCTGCTGGCCTCCTCTGTGGTCTGACCGGTGTGGAGAACCGAGATGGACCGCTTCCTTCCCCCGTCTCGAACCCAGAATTCAGCCCTGAGTTCGGTGCTTGCGCGGCTGGCAGAAACTGCAGCACTGTAACCCTGCGTCTCTATCCCAGCGCGCGCTGCAGACTCTAGCCGTGGGGCGATTTGCTGAATAAGCAGTGTTACCCTCCGTGCGACAAACCTCTCGAGTTTGAGTCCCCGTAGCCGATCCTCGTGAGATGGAAATCCTTCCTCCAGGTTCCGGAGCACCCCACTATTGCTGGAAATTCCTAACAAGATATCCTTTAGCCGTCCTGACTTGTCATACTCCCACACAGTGAAGCAGCACACGGGGCAATGCACTCCCCTCGCCGCCATCTTCCTCTCCTATATCTGTGTAGAGTTTTGACATCAATATTATGTAAGATTAAGTCCACTTTTTTTCTTCATGTATTTAATAGTACAATTTAATTTTATTCATATGTTTTTTTTTTTGAATATGTGAGACATTTACATCATTCACTTGTCTAAACCATACTTGGAGCTAAATCCTGCTTCCAAAAATATCACCCACTCTGCTTGTTCTGAAGTGTCCCTTATGTTTGAATTAGTTCATCTTTTTTTTCCCCAGTGTTTCAGTTTGGAAAACTGAGCATTCTTTCTTATACTCTCTCATATTTTGCTTTCTTGATTAAATTAGATATTTAGAAGTCACTTCATCAGTTTTCATCTATCAGTTTTTTCAGTCTTCTGTGTGTACGTAAGAAGTTTGTGCATATAGTATATTGAATCTGGGGGAGGGGTGTATCCTCAAGTTAATTCCTAGGTATGTTTTTTCTGGGTCAAAAAGAAAATTCATTTATGGCTATATAAATATTCCAAATTGCCCTCCTGCAGTGAATGAAAATACCTGCTTTCCCACAGCTTTGTCAAGAAAAGATATTTTTGATCTATTGAATTTCATCAGATAAGTGAAAATGATAGTTTTAATATGAATTTTATATGAACTGAGCATTTTTCATATGTTTAAAGACAGTCACCAACTTTTTCATGTAAACTTTCATATATACCTATTTTTCTATTGAGCTTGCTTTTTCTTGTTTTTAAGAGCTCTATCTACGTTAGGATGATTTGTGATGTTCCAAGTCCCTCCTGAGACCCTGAACAAACCAGTCACCTCATCTTAGTGGGGATGGAGAGAGTTCAGTGTCTTCAATTGCCATTCAGACCACTTTCTATTTCTCCAAGGCTGTCAGCCAACCTGTCAAATATCAGCATATTGGAGTCTGCATCCTTTTCTATAATATAGATTGCATGTATTTTCTTACAGCTCACCATTGATTTATTTTACTTTGTTTTGAAAAAAAAAAATTAATAGTGAAATTTACCAGCATTTTCTAGTATTAAATTGTTAGAAACTAATTTCCTATATTCAGATTCTAGAAGAAATCATTCATGTGCTATTTTAGTGTTTGTACAGTTTTTTTTTCCATTTGTACCTCTGATCAATTGGTGCTTATTATTGTGAGTGAGATGAGGAATGGACCTAATTCCATATTTATACAAATAGTTCATATCTAATGAATGATGACCAGGTATCAGGTTTCTACCTGGTCGTCATGCCCACCCCTCCCCGTGGTGACTGCCCTGGTATTTGTTAAAAGTATTAGGAGAAAATTTTAAATAAGTGAAAGATTAAAATGCTTTTTCTTTTAAACATAAAAATTATCTAAAAATGATAGCTTAAAACCAAATGGGTCACTAGGTGCAGTGGTGCACACTTGTAATCCTAGTAGCTTACAAGGCTAAGGCACAAGGATGGCAAGTTCAAGACCAGCATTAGCAACTTAGCAAGGCACCAAGCAACTTAGTAAGTCCCTGTCTCAAAATTAAAAAAAAAAAAAGTTTAAAAGGGCTGGGGATGTGGCTCTGTGGTTAAGTGCCCCTGGGTTCAATCCCCTGTACCAAAAAACAAACAAACACCCAAAACACCACACAAATCACTGTACTGTCCTTAAACAAGAAGGATGCAGACTGATATGCTGATGTTTGACAGGTTGGCTGACAGGCTAGGGAGAAATACAAAGTGGCTTGAATGACAACTGAAGACTGAACTCTCTCCATCCCCACTAAGATGAGGTGACTGGTTTGTTCAGGGTCTCAGGAACATCACAAGCCCTAGAAATACTGTTTTCCTTCCTAGCACTTTGCCATAGTCAAATGAAAGTTTGGGTGGGTGTAATTCACCATTTAAATGCTCTGGGAACAAAAAAGGCCAGAATTTAATGTCCCCTTTCAATCTCTGTCCATCTCTTTCTACTTTCCCCATCTGCCAGTTCCTCTGTCTGGAATGGAGTATGCCTTTTGCAAACTTCAGACTGTACTTACTTTCTATTTGCTTTTTCTCTGTGTAGGTGCCAATGTGGGATATTTATCCTTGTTAGACGCTGACTATGACAGAAGACCTCCAAACAAATACTTTGCTAAGGCAGTGAACTACACAGTACATTTCCAGTGGATCCAATGCCTGTTTTGGGATGAGAGAGAGTGGAAATCTGAAAGTTTCTCTCCACAACCAGGAACTTCTCCAGAAAAAGTTAATTGCAGGTATGAGCATACTGTTGGGAAAGAGTCCGGGAATTTTAGCAAGTGACTACATTGGCTTCTTCATTTGGTCTGGGCCCTGGAATCTCTTCTGAATCATGTCCTCCCATGAATAGCTGGAAAAGTCTTGGATGGCACAACCCTAACAGGATGAGCCTTTTATACCCATTCTCATGTCAGTCTTGATTCTTCCATGCTGTCCTGTGGCTCTGAGGGGAGGGGACTGATTTCTACCTGGTCATCATGCCCACCCCTCCCAGTGATGACTGCAGTGCAGTAGCTATTTATTGAGCTTCTTTCTACTCAGAAAAGATTCAATAGAGAAGAGGCAACAGGGGTCCAGTTTTATTATCATGGAAATGCTGGTACCCCTTGGGTGTGCAGTTTGAAGTCAGACAGACAGGGTCCTCTGCTCTCACTGCCCCTCTGTCCCTCCTCTTCCTGTGCAGAGGAGTCCTCACCCCACACCCCCAGGCCTGGCTCAAGGATGAACATCATGAGACTCTGCACAGACATGAGCTCCCTTCTCAGGAATTTCTGGGTATCTGAATCATGTTACTAAATTGGAAATTCTTTATTTTCTAGCCACAAAATTTACAATTGTATGAGAAGCTTAGTCCTTTCATTTTGGTTGTCCTTACCCTCTTGTTAAGGTAGATATCAACAATAATTTAGGCATATTTAGAAGTAGAAATAGTTGTTTCCTCCTTAGGAAAAATTAAACCATAAGAAACTGTATATTATGGTTGCCAGTTAGGGGGCAAATATGTCCTGATTAGAGCATCTCGATGACATTCATCTTTGTTTTTGACTTTATTGTGTTGCACCCTTTTGTGGTTGTGCCATTTGAATTTTCAGGTAATGGCCCAATATTCCACTTTTATATTTAATTATAAATTAATGCCATCATTCATTCTCTATGACATACCAGTCCCTGCTAGGTACTTTTACAGAAATGAGTAACACATGGAAATTGCTCACAAGTTAGTGAAGATGAGATAGGTTTTATTTTTAAAGATAATATACCATAGTGAGCTTCATCTTTATGTATATCTGTAATACACTTGATTTTTTTGAAAAAGCTATATATAAATATAAGACTGATAGAAGAAAGGGAACCAAGAAAGGAAGGAGGAGAAGGAAAGAAATACTGGGAACTAAATTAGAGAAAATTAAATTCCATGTTTGTATAATTATGTCAAAATGAACCCCGATATTATATATTACTATAATGCACTAATAAAAAGTTGTTTTTTTTTTTAAAGATAGTACTCATGGTGGTGGTCATGGTAGGAGCTGCCAATGATAGGGCCTTTGCAATGCCGAGAACAGGTGCTCAGGCAAAGGTTCACAGCATGTGCTGAGTTGCTGAGAGCAGCCCACAGAAGGGCTTAAACTGAGAGTCTCATGGGGAAGCTGGGCTGAGGCAGGTCCTTCCATGGAGTCTGCAACACATTCAGGACAGTCTCCACAGGCGCTGTATCCAGTTCCCGGATGTGAAGATGTCTGGTACTTCAGAGGAGTCTCGGTCCAAAAAATAATTTCAAACTTAGGTTGGGATACACACTGTGAACTGGGCACACATGGTAGCAGTATGTTTAGGACCTGTTTTCTTTTTCACTCTGGTTAGCTTACCACTACCCTGTGAACAGCTGCTCCTGTTACACATTTGGTATCATAATGTGCATTTTCCTCCTAGCTATGACCGCCTCACAGTGTTCTCTGTCTTGAGAAGAAAGCTAAAGGCTGGTTTTGAAGTGAGCGACATATCCAGTTTACAGCAGTAAGTTCCATCTTCTTCTTTTTTTTTTTTTTTTTAATTCTTGGTTTTATTTCTTATGCTTTAGGATTCTTGTTAAGGAAATCAGGGCCTAATCCAACATGATGAAGATTTGGGCCTACTTTTTCCTCTATTAGGCACAGGGTTTCTGGTCTAATTCCTAGGTCCTTGAAGTTCCATCTTCTAAATCAAGATTTCATTTTGTTGTTGCCACTGCCCACTCAGCATGCTCATGTATAATTAAGCAGATGCTTGAAATCTGTGTTTTAAATGTATTTATTTATTTATTTTTGCATTACAATTCTTAATACACCACTATACCATAATTTATCATATCTCTGATTATATATAAAGTATGTTGACACCAAATTCACATCTTCATACATGTATTTTGTATAATGATGAGGGTCTTATTTTGTTTTTTGGATTATGAATATTAGGAGATAATTGTCTTTAAATACTATATCCACTGTCTGTCTTAGCTTTTTCACTGCTGTGACTAAAAGATCGAATCAGAATGACTTTAGGGGAGGAAAAGTTTATTTGGGGACTCGCGGTTTCAGAGGTCTCAGTCCATAGACAGCTGGCTGCATTCCTCTGGATTCCAGGCAAAGCAGGACATCATGGTGAAAGAGTATGGCAGAGGGAAGTGGCTCACACGATGATCAGAAAGCAGAGAGAGACACTCCACTTGCCAGATACAAAATACATACCCCAAAGCCACACCCCCAGTGCTCTATCTCCTCCAGCCTCACCCCACCTGTCTTCAGTTACCACTCAATGCCACCAGTGATTAATTCACTGATTGGGTTAAGGCTATCCTAACCCAATCCTTTCTCTGCTAAACCTTCTTTCATTGTTTCACACATTAGCTTTTGGCAGACACCTCACATCCAAACCATAACACTGTCTATACTTACATTCACTGACAAAAGAGATTTATAAACATAAGAGAGTCAACAATTTTTTTTAATTTTTAGGTTTAGATTTAGTTCAGTGTGAATTTGGATAATTATAATTGATTATGTTAATATCTATGGTAATGTCACCTCTAGATTTGTCTGACCTGGTTTATACTTATAGTCACAGCTTAATTGTTAATAGCTCTCTTGGTCTCTGAGATGTATCCATTTTAAACAGTAAGTTTAAAATTCACCCTATTTTAATAGCCACTGTTTCATATGAAACAATTTATATTTAGAGTCTGAAACAGGGGTACATCAAGGGCAAGCTTCTGTAGGCAGCAACCTTCTCTGTCTCATTTGTCAAGCTGACCCATGTTTAATACAGAGCTTGTCCCTGGTAGGTGTTCCGTAAACATTTGCTGAGTGAATATTAAGGGCAGATCTGCACTTCCTTGGGTGTTGAGTTTTTGAGTTTTCCTACCTTGATATTCTTATAATAGGAAACTCTGCCTTTATTACTTAATCAACCATAGTATTTCCTGGACTAGTTGGTGAATAAGAGAATTTGTAAATAAGACATTAATTACTAATGTAATTCTTGCTGACCTCAGAGAAGGGTCACCAGTCGTCCAGTGATCAGGGCGCTAAGTGCAGCAGCTCAGCCCTGGTTTCCACAGCACTGACACCATTGGGGAGGGGGCTGTAAACAAAGAGGTTTGGGGAAGCTCAGGGGATGTCCAGATAGAAGACAACACCTGAAGTCACACAGAGGCAGTAGCATCAGGGACATCTGGCCAGAATCCAGGAGGTTCCAAGCCACAGCTCAGGTATAGTAAGGACAAACTAGAGCCAGGTGGTTGTGAGCTGATTGGGTATGGCTTAGAACAAGCTTGTCCTGGTCTTGCTGGGAAAGAAGGAAGAAGAGTCCAGGCAAGACCAGGAGCACAGCCCAATCCTAGATATAGTCAAAGAGCAGTGAGGCAGGGGACATAGCACAGAGTCCCCAAGCAGTATGGACTCCAGGCTCTACCTCTGAAATCTTATCAAAGATTTCATAAGGCTGAGCCCAGCCAGAATACCTTATTAGGTTAAGGGCCCAACACAGGGGACTCTATATGGATACCATTCTGTGGGTCTGCAGGGGCTAGAGGATCTCTCTCCCCAAGCCAGGATTGGTGTGTGACCTACAGGTGGGGAGTAAGCAGTGCCACCCACAGACAGGTACAGGTGGGATATAGATAAGTCTACCTGTTTGGGTCGCTGCGTCTGAAAGACCTGACCAGAACAACTGTAGAGGAGGAAAGGTTTATCTGAGAAAGGTTTATCTGAGAGCTCACAGTTTCAAAGGTCTCAGTCCATAGACAGCCAGCTCCATTTCTTGGGGCTTGAAGTGAGGCAGAACATCATGGTGGAAGAGTAGGGAAAAGGGAAGCTTCTCACATGGTGATTAGTAAGCAGAGAGGGAAAGTCTTTCAGATTCAAATATATACCCCATAGCCACGCCCCCAATGAACCACTTCCTCCAGCTACACCCCACCTGCATCCTGTCACCATCCAGTTAATACCATCTGGAATTAATTCACTGATTAGGTTAAGGCTAGAATCCAATCATTTCTCCTCCAAACCTTTTGCATTGTTTCACATGTGAGCTTTTGCAGACATCACATCTAAACCATAACACTACCTGAAACCCCTCCAACATCTCCTAGCCTTGCCCTGGAGGCAGAAGAGGGAAGGGGGAAGAATGTTGCATCTGCATGTTTGAAGTACACATCTGCATGCCTTAATCTTCATAATAGCATGAGATTGGCATTTTTCTCATTTCCCGATAAAAGTTCCTCAGGCCCAGCGGGTGCAGCTTCCCACCTCAAAGGCAGGTTCAGCACAGGCCTCCTTGTTCTGGAGTTCATGCCATGGTAGCCCTGTATTCAGAAGCTCCTTGCACTGGGGCTCCAGGACATGTTTGAAAACAACCTGCAGACCATCATGTGGTGTGTGTGTGTGTGTGTGTGTGTGTGTGTGTGTGATCAGTTTTCTAAGTGTCTATTTCCATGTGTAATTCTCATTATATCTTTTCCTTTTTTTTTACTCACAGTCACCCACAAAACCTACTTCCCAGTATTTTTATTGTGATTTTTATGATTCTTTATGGATTTTTGGTTACTAAAAGCAGATGTATAGATAATCATGAAAAAAAGAAAATGGGATACATTTTTCTGCAAGAATATACCCCACCTGGCCACAAGTTGTATGCTGTTGTCATTGACACTGGCTTCAGGGCACCAGCTCGATTTACCTCAAAGGTAACATAAGGCCCTGGGGATACTTCGGTGGAGTCTAAGTGTGTAGCCTTCAATGCACGAGAAGTGATGATTTGATGATTTAACTGAACTGTCAATCACCTGTCACCACCAGCTCCATCCAATTCCCTCTTCCCTCCTGCAACCTGTACATGTGTAAGAGCAGAAGGTGGGACCCCCCCCCCCCCACCTTCTCCCAGCTCAAATCCCTTCCCCTCTTTCTGCCTTTACCATGGAAAACAGATCAAAGAGATTGGTTCTGTCTCTGGATTAGTCTCTGTGACTTTGAGAGACAACTCAGTTCTTCTGAGTTGACAGGAATCTATTACCCACCACCCAGATATAGATCTAGGGAGAAAGGAATGAGAATTGATCAGACAAACCTTGGAGACAGGTGGGGACATAGCTGGATTGGAAGCTTGGGGTTAAAAAGAGTCTTCCCAAGCAGATGGAGGATGATATAGAAGGGTGGGGAGTGAGAGGAAATGGTAGGAGGCTGAAGGAAATGATGCAGCATAGGGGAGCATCCATGCCAAGTGGGCAGTGAGAGCAAGGTCTGAGAGATGAACACCATGAGCAGAACCACAAGTCACAGAGACAAGAAGGGAGGTTCCATCTGCATTCAAAATTCACTCCCATTTCCTGAGGGAACTATGGCTGCTTTATGGAAACCTGTAGGACTGGGGGCACTGAGAAGAAAATGGGTCAATGAATGTTAGAAAAGAGATGTGTGTGATGGGGATGTCATGGTACAGCTAGGCACGAAATCTAACATGATCTCTACTCACTACAAGCCCTAGCCTATCAACTATATATTTATAGTAATTCATAAACAGTGAACATCACATAGAAGGAAATTTTTTTTAAATTTTTTATTGTTGGCTGTTCAAAACATTACATAGTTCTTGATATATCATATTTCACACTTTGATTCAAGTGGGTTATGAGCTCCCATTTTTACCCCATATACAGATTGCAGAATCACATCAGTTACACATCCATTGATTTACATATTGCCATACTAGTGTCTGTTGTGTTCTGCTGCCTTTCCTATCCTCTACTATCCCCCCTCCCCTCCCCTCCCCTCCCCTCTTCTCTCTCTGCCCCCTCTACTGACATTCATTTGTCCCCCTTGTATTATTTTTCCCTTTCCCCTCACTTCCTCTTGTATGTACTTTTGTATAACTCTGAGGGTCTCCTTCCATTTCCATGCAATTTCCCTTCTCTCTCCCTTTCCCTCCCACCTCTCATCCCTGTTTAATGTTAATCTTCTTCTCATGCACATAGAAGGAAATTCTCTTAACTAAATTCTCTTAACTAGGACTACTTACAGCAGTCCTAGTATCTTTGAATTAAAAAAATATATATCTTTCTTAAGTGAAAGATTGATAAACACAGTACTCATTCCTGGGTAGCAATACACCAGTGAGGAACAACAAGCCCAGCCCCACTGGAAACAGGCCTCCCCAGGGTGCATCTGCAGAGGTGGAAGCTCCTGCCACCTGACCCTGGTGCCACTCCAGGGCCTAGCAGGCCTCCCCCAGTGTTCCTGCCAAGCTAAAGGAAGGAAGATGCTGCCCCCACCATGTGTTCTAAAGATAAATGCCCCAGTAAATCCCAGGTGGGAACTAACATTTCTAGATCAAGGATGTGAAAAACCATCCAGCCACCCCAGGCTCCATTTCCAGGCTCTAATTCCAGGCCCTAATCCCTGTCCTCCAATCCTCCCTAGTCTAGGAGGACTGTGCAGGCCATGAGGGCACCCCCTTCTCCCCTCAGCTCCATGCTGGGGCCTGTAGCTGTCCCACAGCTTGTCAGGTGGTTTCCAGAAGGATAGAAAGTAGGGAAGATCAGGGAAGCCCTACCCCAGGGGTGCTGGCATCTTCTATGAAACATCTGGAGCTCTCACCCTGTGTCTGTGTTTTAAGGTTTTCATTGTTTTATGTGGTGAAAATGGACTTTCAGAAACCAAAGAGCTCTGCAGTCCTGAGAAGACCCTGTTTGAAAGGAATTCCAGACACACGTTTATCCTGAGGTATTTAGAGATATTTCAACCACACGATTTGGAAAAGATAGGCCAATCAGAATCAGAGTGTTCTCATCATAAGCCCAAAAAAGCAGCATAGAGAACATTGGGAACATCAGTGTACATAAAATTTTATGAAATATTTTTATAGTTTATTATTTGGAGTAGACTAAAGGTAGGTTATATGAGGGGGGAAAGGAGGGAAGGAGAAAGAGAAAGAAGGAAATCAACTAATTTTGCATGCTAAAATCACAATCACAATTCTAGGCCACTAAACCTACCTAAATTAATTAGTATCATTCCAAATCTGGAAGAGTAAGGACATGTGGTCTTGCAAAGTTGGTGGTATTGGACGAGGCAGGATCATTTATCAAGATAGAAGGCCAGCTCCTGCCACTTTTAAAAATGTGAAAGTACTGAACTAAATTATTTTTTCTACTGGAAAATTTTATTAATAGTATTTTCCATTTGGAGTAATTCTTTATTAAGAGAAAAAAAGTTAACTTCTGACTAATTCACTCCAGGCAAAAATACATTAATGAGATTTTCATGACTTGGATTTAGGAAAACTATAGTCACCAATCCCCCTTGTTCTCAGGGGACATATTCCAGGACCCAGATAGATTCCAGAAACAGCAGATAATACCAACCCTGCATACCTCTGTTTGTTCCTATATATACATACCTAGGATACAGTTTCATTTATTAGTTTTTGCACACTAAAATCACAATCACAATTCTAGGCCACTAAACCTGCCTAAATTAATTAGTATTATTCCAAACCTGAAGAGCAAGGACATGTAAGAGTAAGGACATGAGTGAGTATAAGAGTAAGAAGTAAATGACTTCTTATAGTCATTTATTTAAACTTTTCTTAGCAAAAGAGTAAAGATAACTAATAATAAAGTAGAATAATTATAATATACTATAACAAAATGTATTTAAAACTTATGAATTGTTAATTTCTGGAATTCACCAGTTAATATTTTTGGACTCATGCTTGATGGTGGGGAACTGAAGTCATGGAAAGCAGAACTGAGGTTCAGGGGATAAGTGTGATAGATACTGAACCCCTGTGTGCTGGGTGGGATTCACTATCCACTGGCCAGCTCTGGGGCTTCCACCTGTCACTCTGCATGGCAGTTATCTGTTGGCATATCTGCTCCTCATGGATCATTAGTGTCCTGAGTGCCAGCATCAGATTTGGCGAGGTGCCATGCCCATGCCATCCTGCACACAGGGCTGATGTGATGCTGCTGTGTGTCATCAGTGCTCCTGCGCAGTTGGGCCCACTCCGGAAGATCCGCCTCTGGCATGACAGCCGTGGGCCTTCCCCGAGCTGGTTCATTAGCCACGTGATGGTGAAAGAGCTGCACTCAGGACAGAGCTGGTTCTTCCCTGCCCAGTGCTGGCTGGCTGCGGACCAATGGGATGGCCACGTGGAGCGAGAGCTCACCCGCCTGCGCCATGGGTTGGGTTTCCAGAAAGTAAGTCCCATGCCAGTGCCAACCTGCCTACCTGGTGACTGGCACACCTTAGCACCTAGCTCTGCTTCTCTTCTTATAGTCATTTATTTAAACTTTTCTGAAGTTTGGCATATTATCTCTTTTCTTAGTCAACTATCAGGATATTCATATCTTCAGTGATGCATGCAGTAAGTGGCCATGTAAGCATGAACTGATGGCCTTTGCCAACTTTAATCTCTACAGTAATGTTTCTTCTTTTAACAATTACTGCAATACCACCTATGGAATTTCTGGTTACTGGTGGTTTGCAACGTTCATCAGACCCCTAATTAAAGTCTTTCCAGCACCTTGTGTATATATACAAAACAACTTAGATTACTATCACACAATATAGATGTGATCAGGGCCAGATGGCAGGAGATGGTGAAAAGTGACAGTCACCCATGATCTCACAGACCAACTGTGAAAGTTTTGATTTTTACAAGTTCTCTTCCAATCTTTCCCTATTTCCAGTGTTCCCTATTCATTTTGTATAGTTGTAATAAAAAGACTTATGTGTTTTATGCTTCCTAATTCAACATTTTAGAGTAAATTTCTTTATGAATGCTCTTTATGAACAATTTAAGGACTTTATAATGGCTGATATACACTCTTATTTGCTTAAGTATCCACCTACTGGGTACTCTTGATTTTCTTTTATTTACTTCCAAGATAGAAAACTGTAGGTTTGAGTGTGTCTTTGGATTTCTGGCAAATGATTTCCTAAGATGGTTCTCAAGAGTGAGTCAGGGCCCATGAAAGCTGATATTTCCACAGACACTGGATCTCACCAGTCCACTGGGCTCTCCTTCCAGCATGTCCCATTGTCATGGTGGTGAGGAGAACCAGGCTTACAACTGTAGTAGTTTCTGGCTTGACATTGCTAATTTATTAGGAAGCACAATCATCATGAATTTTAAACAAGGGTTTCTAATCAGCCACAGCATATGGAAATTCTTCAGCACCTGAAACCAAGGGACAGATTCAACTGGGACTTTCCTTCAGACTTCCATGTAAGAATGACCACTTAGCTGACTGAACACAGTTAACAATAGGAGATGTGCATTGTTTCTCCTCCAGCTATTTTGCTTGAGAACTTTGTGTAAGAAATTTACACTAAGTTAGCCACTTATGAGTCCATGTAGCTATATTCCATGAATCCACTGTAACTCATTGGACAATCAGTTGACATATAAAAGACACAGTCTTATTCTGTTTCGATTGTTTTGCTGGTGTTTGCTCATTATTCTACTTGTATTTCATATATCAGTCCTATGTATAAGTAATTCTGGTTTTTTTCTACAATGTTGAGCACTAAATAATGTTTGAATTGCATTGAAACATTAAAAATTTAGTGTAATTCCATGGGCAACATAATGCCTGCTACATGGTGGACCATGTGGGTTACAGCATGGGTGGCACCAGCTTTTGGTGCACTCAGAGCCCAGTGAAAATGAACAGTCTGTTGGGGAAAGTACTGAGAACAGTTCCTAAATAGTCTATTAGGAACACATGGAGAAGTGTGTTCAGAGACTCTAGAGAGAAGGGGCTTCTGAGCTAATGTTAAAAATTCAGAAGCCAGACAAGTGAGAGGGAGGAATGATTGGTACCAAGTCTCAGGGGCCTCCAGTAGGAGGCTGGACTAGGCCAAAGTCCAGGGTGGTGGGAGTGTGTGGTTGCAGCAAGATGCTGGTAATGAGGTGGGAGGAAAGAAGCCAGAGCAAGGGGCTGTGTGGATCGTCCACCTGCACCCAGTGGTTATATAGCATCCAGCTAACCAGCCCAGGTAGAAAAGCCAAAAAATTTTGGAGTCTCAGCTTAGGAAATTGTTGGTTATCAGTCAGGATCTCACTTTGTTTACACAAATGTTTGACATCAGGAAATTGTTGTCTTGTGGTTTTCCCTTTCAGCTGTTCTATTCCAAGTTCACAGAGTACCTGGAAGATTTCCATGTCTGGCTCTCCGTGTACAGTCGGCCCTCCTCCAGTGGCTACCTACACACACAGCGGCTCACGGTGTCCTTCTGTCTGCTGTGTGTCTATGCATTCCTGGCAGTCCTGGTCACTGCAGGCGAACATGAGCAGGTGGGAGGCAGCTGATTTTCCCACAATGGCTGCCAATTCTCAAGACCTAAAGCATGGCTCCCTCTTAACCCGGAAATTAGCAAGACTCACTGTACTTGAAGAAGAGTTTAAACCAGGGGAATCAGACTGTGTACCTGGAGGGACCCCAGGTGACATGGCCAGAGATGTAGCTGGGAAGGGTCTGAAAGATGAAAGGTCTGGGTGAGGAGCTGCTGTGGTTGGCTGACCACTGCTGTATGAGACCTCAAACCCCAGGGGCCACAGAGCATGATATCCCCAGAGGTATTGGTAGCCTGGGTTGTCTCGTGGGAACACTCCCAAGTTTTTTTTAAGGTTGACATTTATTCACATTTTAAACAAATGCTTTGGCTGAGAGAACAGGGAAAAGTTAGCATTGCCACATTAGCATTTGGAATGCCAGTTTACACTGCAAACATGGTCTAATTATTCCTCATGAAATGTAGAGAATTAATTCTGAAACAGTTCAAGCAGTTAAAATGGAGAACCTGTCTCTCCTGAGTGAGAGGAAAACAGCATGATTTTGGAGGGTATGGCAAAACAGTGGGATTAGTTTCTTACAACTCAGGGCCACTTATAAGCCCAACCCACTACATCCATATGGTCCCAACCATGCAGCTGCGGATGGTGGCCTTCTTACATGGCACCAGATATCAGAGAGGTCTGGTAACAGTTATAGATTTAGAATTTTTTAAAGGAGTGCCATGTGCAAATAATCAGTTTTTAAAAAATATTTCAAAAAATCTATCACTAATTGGCAAGAAGGGAACCACCATATCCACCTGGGATGTACTCAGGACCTGTAGTCAGAAAACCTATCTTGGGTCACTCCTGTGAGATCAACTAGTTGTCTAATCTGAGGCCTGACCATTTTTCTTTGTTGGGTGGCACATTGAAGACATTGATGCCTTCTTGTCAGATTATAGCAAGGATTAAGTCCATTGAGAATCCCCTTCATGAAAAATGAGTGTCCACAGGGACTTCTACAGGAGAAAAACAAATGACTTTTTTTTGTGATTTTTTTTAACCTGGATTGAGAGAGCAAAGGTTAAGTCTTCGGAACTACAAATGCCCCTGAGTTTTGAGTTGGAATCACTTGAGGAGTTATAACTTCTACTGTTGACTGTCGTAGCTCCCTCTGGATGTCGGCCCCACAGACATCACTCTCCGATCCTTTAGTCTGGGTTTCCTGTGCACCCTCCTGGCCTCCCCAGGGTCACAGCTCTTGGCACTGCTCTTCAGGCTCAGCAAGGTACCTGTGGACTATCTGCACGGCCCTATGCTCCTGAGTGGCACCTCCATTGCTGGGGGATATCCTCTCTAACCAGCCTCTACTTCTGCAGGAAGCGATGGAGTATCCCCGGACTGAGGCATGCAGACTGCTAAGAGGAGTGCAGACAGAGGTCCCTCTGGGTAAGCATGCACTAGAAACTCAAACTCTCCCCTCAAGCTGATCCCCTGGGCCAATCTTTTAGGTAGGAATGGAATCCCCTACTTCCAGTTTGCATTATGTTTCATATATTTAAAAGCCATCTTATTTTCTGTGGGTTGTCCCTTTCCTTTGCCCCTCTTCATTGACTTCATAGAATCCTTTCTTTTTCTAAACAAGATTTAAGTGATTGCCACTTAGTTATGTAAATGGGCCTTTGTCCAATGGAGACTGAATACTTTTTCCCAGTTGCTATTGTTGTTTCAGTTTTATTATTTTAATTTTTTTATATTACCATTTATCACTATTTTCTTTTAAGGCTCTTTTTACTATTTAAAACGTTTTTCCAATACTGCTATATTTCCTGAGGGCAGCCCTGGGTGACTGAGGAGGTGTCAATTCCACACTGGGATGGCAACATTAAAAAGTCCTCATCTTAGCTTTGTCCCATATCTCAGAAAGGCTAATTATGATGGGTCAGGAAGAACTGGAGGTAGTGTACCAGGTAGCTTTAAGATGTCCCTGGGTTGACATCATACATTTGCCTTTTTTTCAATCAGATCCTACTTCCTGTAGAGGTACCCAAGACACCCAGGAGCCATGTAAGGTATGTGGACAACTACATGCATTAACTAATTCTCTAGCATAGCAGGCTAATAATAAGATTTCTCTGGCATTCTTCTTTGGCTGCATGTGGTATGACCATGGGAAGGTCACACATTGTGCTGGCTGGGATCCATTATCTGGAAAAGTAGGGCTGATTCTCAAGCCCCAGTGAGGGGGGATGGGCATCCAGGTAGTATCAAGAAGAAGGAGTTTCTGCAGAGGCCAGAAAAATGGGAGAGGAGCAGCCCTGCAGAACCTAGAAAGCCTCATGTATATGTTCAGTGAAAACTGCCAAGGCCCCTGTGAAGAAGAAAGGCCTGGATGTCTGCTTAGCCTGCTCCTTTCAGCCTAGCACGAGGAGCAGGGGCTTGGAGGAGCTGTTGCAGTGATATGAGCTCCAGGTCTCAAATAGGCCTCTGACTAAAAGCAAGTGTAGGGCAGTTTCTAATGGTGTGACCACAGTAACCCATTGGGATTTTGCTTGTGGGATCTAGGTGACTATGCCCTTAGCTTAGTCTGTGCTTCTTAGTCTCTCACCCCTGCCTGGCAGCTTCAGGGCCTTTGCTTGGAGCATTGTATGCCCTATCCCTAAATGCTGTGCTGGGATTCTCTCTCTCCCACCTTGGAGCCTTTTATCAACCATTGCTCTTGACTGAAACCCTCCTTGGGCAGGTAGTGCCTCCTAGGAATCAGGGTGCAATTACCTGAAAAATGGAGCTGCTACCAAGCCACAGGCATTGCTTCATGGTCACCCCACAGGTCCTAAGGAGCCAGCTCCCAAGGCTGACTGTGCTTCCCCCTCAGAATTCAAGGACTGCACTTGACCATGTGCCATGCCTGTCCTGTGAGAAGGCTCATATGGCACCATTGTCGAGGAGTTCACTATCTATGGGAATATTGACCTTGGCCTGTCCTTGTCATTCCAGCATTCTGTATCAGCCATTCCTTCTGGGAGTGATGGGAGCAGAAGAAAGGCAGAAGGCAATGACACAGCCTGCCCATCCATGGACTTGGAGGCCTGCAGGCCTGACCACCAGGGGACTTTGCAAAGGGAAAAGAGCCACCACTCCCCTCCTGGCTTACAAGGTGACATTGCCATGTGGTTGCAACAGGCAGCCCTCTTTTCTGCAGGCCCATCATCAGCCTTAGCCATGAGAGAGGCAGGATGAACAGAGTTGGAGTTGAGACGCATGTCACTAGACACTTGAGTCTTATCTAAAAACAGGCTTGGACTCATTTGAAATGGTGGCTTCTAACTTTGCCCCAAATCCTGATTGATTTCTTATTTATATTCAGTATAAATTACATCATATCTTTTTAAAAGCTAGTAATAGTGTCTTCACACTTCTTTATATATTCTGAAATTTGAAGCTTTGTGTTTTAAATTTTTTCCACATTTCTTTTGCTGGTGCATTATAGTTGTACATAATGGTAGGATTTGTTGTTACATATTCATACACGCACACAATATAACAGTAAATCTACCAATATTATTCCTTAGTCTGTCCCCTTCCCCTTCCCTCCTCCTCCCTCCTGGTCCCTTTCTTCTATTCTCCAGATCTCCCTTCATTAGATTTTCCTTAGATGTGCCCCTCCCATATTTCTTTTCTTTTTTTCTCTGTGGTGAAGCTTTGCTTTTATAAAATGTAAATTAGAGTGAATAGCAGCCCTTCCTTCAATTATGCTGCAGGCTCAGCAATGAGCTGGAAAAGCAGAAAATGACCTGGAAAACAAGGGCTGCACCCAGGGAGGGCAGGTCATCCTGTGCTTGGGTCTCAAGTTGCATGTGTGCAACCATGAGGGCCTACTCAACACAGGGCCTAGAGCATTGGTTTTGGGTAGCAGGTGAACCCTGCTCTGCATACTCACCATAGGAGCAGAAAAAGGTCTTTTCTGTGGGTGAATGAGACCTCAGGTAGGTGAGCCTATAGTACAGACACCAGTATTGCCAAAAGTATGACTACCCTCCATGGCAAGCTGGACACATGCATTCTGGGAAGTGAAAGCTCAGAAGTGGAAAGTTCGCACTGGTGGACCAGACGCCAAGGAGGTGGTGGGGAAGGTGTGGCTTAGGAAGACACTGCCATCCCATCCTGGTCACACCTCTGCATTCCTGTTGCATGTTCAGCAAGTGTCCTTTGGTTTGCCCAATGCCAGCTTCCTGGTCTATTGAGATGGGCTGGGTTTAGTTGCCCTTGATTGACACTGCCTCCTGCCCCCAGATGTTCCCCCATTGGGATTTATCTCTAAGAACCATCCCTTGAGAAAAGGAGTTCTACAATTCCCCTCCAAGGAGAGGGACTTTGTGGGGTGACCTCTGGTTATGTGCATGGCTCTGGAGGAATTGCATAGCTAAGAGGAAATGATGAAGGTTGTGGGGACAAGTCACAGCTCTGTGTCCAAATGGTGTGAGTGAGTCTTAATCCAGTCAGAGCAGATCCTACAGATCTAAGTCAGCCTACTTAGTCATTTGGGATCTGAGATGGAAACTAGTCCCTCTGCCTCTAATGCTGGGGACCTCTCCATCATTTTAAGAGGCATTTTAGTAGAACCCCTAAGGTGCTATCCTGGACCTTCAAGCAAAGATCAATGTTCTAGCTCAAAGACCATCAGGAAAGATGAGTTCCTTTTTAACCCATTTGTTCTATTCAGGCCTTCCACTGATTGGGTGAAGGCCCATCTACCGTCAAAAGGCCTCTGCTTTATTCAGTCCACAACACAAATGCTAATGTCATCTGGAAACTCCCTCATAGACACACCCACAATAATCTTTGGCCCAATTTCTAAACACCCTACAACCCAGTCAAGGTGACACTAAGCTCACCATCACACTGTGGGTGAGGATGTTGGGTCTGTTAACCAGCTTGTCTCTGTCTTACTCTTCTGTAGCTCCAAAAGGTGGTTTTGAAGGGCTCATGCCCCAGTGGTCAAGAGCTGGCATGCCTTGGTCAAACTCTGCAGCATGGGCCATTTGTGGATCAGCTTCCCTAGCCTGTGGACTAGGGACAGGACTCATAGGCTACAGGTGAGCTTTTGAGGCTTTCAAATATACTCAGGTCACTTGATGAAAGTCTAGCATTTGTAAAGGAGGCCCCTCTTTTCTAGGAACACATAAAATGCAGATACCAGATGTCACCATTGATATTTTCTCCCTCACCCCACTCCACCCCATGGGAGTGAGCAGAATCATATGCAAACCCCAAAGGATCAGTTGCTTGGGCAAGCTCTGCAACAGCCCAGATGGCATACTGGGTTTTAAATAAGAAGCCCTAGGCTCCTCATTAAGGAATGAAGGGCCAGTCACCAAGCTCCTGAGAGGGAGCTCAGACAAAGTGCTCATCATCTCCTGTTTGAAAAAGCCCAGGCACAGAGGAGGCTGAGGCAGGAAGATTGTAAGTTAAAGGCCAGCCTCAGCAATTTAGAAAGGCCCTGTCTCAAAACAAAAAAATAAAAAGGACAGAGGACATAATTTAGTGGTAGAGCTCACCTGGGTTTAATCCCCAGTACAACAACAAACAAGCCTATGCCTGTGCAACAGTTACCATCCATGCACCATCCATTCGGGACTGCCCCCGGCACTCAGTGCCTCTTGGTCTGGCTGCCGTGTGGCTTTGGTCACCACTAGAGGCCCCAGAGTCATCTCATGGCTCCTGTGGGCCCACATGTTCCTAAACCATGGGAAGTAGGTCACAAAGCCAAGGCCTTTTCTTCCTTATGATCTCCCCTCACCCATATGCACACACTGAATCACCGTGAGGATGGATGAGGCACTAGAGCCCTCTGTGCCTCAGTTTACCCATCTGGAAAGTATGGATCCTCGGCCCTTAATTCTTGGGGTCCAAGGAGGCAGGTGGAGTTCCAAGTGCTCTCCTGCTCCCACTGCATCCACTTGTTGCAGCTGTCACCAGGTCACACCTGCCTTTTCCTCCTCTTCCCTCCCTCTGCTCTGTTGCTGTGTGTTGGATTTCTTTTCTCTTACCACTGAGTAGCTTTAGAAAGGCAGATATTCTCTCAGCAAGGAATGACTCTCCTCTAATGGGCTGAAAGATACAGTGCCCACGTCCAGTAGCCCCAACCTGGCTGCAGTCCCACTTCCTGCCCAAGGTCTCAACCTGCAAAGGTGCTGACCTACTCCTGTGTCCCCATGCTCAGGTGGTAGTGACCATGGTGGCTTGCTCCCACAAGGGTACTGACTGCATTCTCTCCTGGACAGGTTTGTTATGGCTCAGTGTATGAGGTGGCTGCACCTGTTGTCCCTTTCCGTGGTCTGCTGCGTGTTTGTCACCCAGCCACTCATGGTAAGACACACCTTCTGAGGCAGAGGTTCCTCTGTTCAGCAGGACACTGGAGAGGGGGATGCATTTTGGCAATGCATGTTGGCTGCATTTTGGCAATGCATTTCTTTTCTTTATAGTTTGATTTGAGATGTGGTGAGAAAAAAAAAAGAGGGATCCAGGCCTTGTGCTAAGCTCCATAGGTGACCACCCATTTTTCAGTTGAGGAACCTGAGCCTGGATAACTTAAGTCTCTCAGGCCAGGCCAGGCCTGGTAAGGGGTCAAGCCTCTGGTGAGTGGTTCAGAACCAGGAAATGGAGGCCTATTGGCAATGAGGTACCAGGAGGACAGTTCTGTGGAGGGAACACAGCCCAATGCTGATGATAGCCCCTGCTATCATATCTCTCCCTCCAGATATGCATCATGGCATTGGGCTTTGCTTGGAAAAAAAAAGACGACAACCAATTTTTTGCTGAGTCTTTATATGAAGCAACCAGGAATCTGGACTTGGAATTGGAAGAACGTTCCGGAAGCCATGTTCCCCTTTCTCACAGCTGCTGCATTTCTGACTGTGCAAGGGAAGTTGAAAAAGTAAGGGGATTATCAGTGCAGCATGAACTGGGCTTTGGAGAACCATGCTGTATGTGTTCTTGTCATGTACTTCCCTTCTTCCCTCCATCCTTAATTTCCTTTCTTTCTCCTTTCCTTCCTATATTCGGTTTTGCTTGTTTGTACATATGGTATTGTCTTAGGTGTGGATGCTATGAAAAAGAGCAAGGTCTTTCAGCCACCACAAAGAAACTCACAGGCTTGTTGTTGACATGAATATACATAAAATAAAATGTGCTATTCTATTCTGAGAAGTAATCACTGGTCCTTATGACCAAGGCTGCAGCCCCAGTTCATTCACAGTCAGATACCATCTCTCCCTCTGCTCACCCTCCCTCCCCTCCTCTCAGAAAGCCCAGAGACTCCAACAGGCTAAGCAACCTCATCAGGTGACTGATCTACAGCCTTCCTCCCTGGCACCTGGATGATGAGAATATATACTGAGCATCAATTATATAGTCCGTGGTCATTGTGTCGTTATGATTTGGATGTGAGGTGTTAGGAGAGCCTTAACCCAATCAGTGAATTAATTCCCTGATGGGATTAACTGAGGGGAATTGAAGGCAGATGGGTGTGGCTGAAGGAGGTGGGGCATTAGGGGTGTGGCTTTGGGGTATATATTTTGTATCTGGCAAGTGGAGTCTCTCTCTCTCTGCTTCCTGATCATAGTGAGAGCCACTTCCCTCTGCCACACTCTTCTAGCTTGATGTTCTGCCTCACTTCAAGCCCCAAGGAATGGAGTCAGCTGTCCAAGGATTGAGACTCTGAAACTATGAGCCCCCAAATAGACTTTTCGTCCTCTAAAATTTTTTTGTCATGTCTTCTATTCACAGCAGTGAAAAAGCTGACTAAAACAGTCATGCTACATTTACGTTCACTATATCAATTTGTTGCTTATAAGATTTTGTGAAGTAGGCAGGATTATTGCATCCCACTTTAAAGATAAGGATATTGGGGCTCACAGAGGTGAAATAATAAAGGCCAAGGCCACATAGCAGTACGGTACACCCCAGCACCTCATCTGAGGAGCAGTTTTGTTGTGGTTTTTCCTCACACCTGTTGGATCTCAACTTTCCTTTCTGCTTCAAGGCTTTCTTACCTTTTCCCCAGGTGCAGATACTCCACCTCCCTACTCTATCTCTGTTCTTTCTCTTTCTATAGATTTTTCCTCAGGGGTAGATTCCTCTGGCAGATTCAGCCGTGATCCTAAGGGTCAGGTTGGCATCACTAGACCTGTGCCCATCCCATTAGCACCTTGAAATCAAGATGCCTGTATCAGTTAGTTTTGTGTCACTATGACCAAAATACCCAACAAGAACAACTTAGAGGAGGGAGAGTTTATTTGGGGCTCCTGGTTTCAGAGGTCTCAGTCCAAGGGTGGCTGAGTCCATTGCACTGGGCCCAAGATAACCTAGCACACCATGGCAGAAAGGATGATGGAGGAGCATAGCTCCATTCATGGCAGTCAGGAAGTAGAGGAGAAAAGCAGAAAAAAGGGCCACAGGGTAGATACACCCTTCCAGGGTATAGCCCCAGTGACCCACCTCCTCTAGCAGCACTCCACCTGCCCACAGTTACTACCCAGTAAGTCCATTCTAGTTTGATTAGGTGACAGCTCTCATAATCTCACAATTTTTACCTCTGAACATTCCTGCATTAACAGAGGAGCTTTTGGGGGAAACTTCACATCCAAACCACAACAGAGCTTCACCCACCAACCTTCCCCACATTCGGCTTCAGTGCTCACCCTTCTCATGATAACACATCCATCAGCTGAAAGGAATATCCCAACCACCAAGCTTCAATCCCCAGGTTCACTGTTATACCATTTGTACTGCCATGTATTTCTTAAAAGTACAACAGAGGAAAGAGAGCTTCTGAGTTTCCAGATCAATGTCTCCCATATCTGACCTAGGGTCTCCTCATTGAACATGTATTGAATGAACAAATGTGTGAATGAGAAAAAAAATGAATGAACTCCATCCACTGTTATGTGTGTCTTGAACATAAACAGACATAATATGAAAGCAGTAATATTTTAAAAAAGAAAATCAAAGGTCATTTCTTGCTAAGACTGTACTTTAAAATGTTTTTCCAGACTTTGAAGATCTCTAAAAGAAAATACCATGCAAATGCCAAAGATAATTGCTCCCATAATTTGACAGTAGCAGACATGCCTGTTGTGTAAAGCTGCTCTTTATAGTGGCCCAGCTTCAGCTCCTGCCAAAAAAAAGTTTGGCTGGGATATAAGCAGAGTTTCTTTTAAATGGAGCTACCCTGTCTCCAAACCTCTCCCCAACAACCTGGTATACATTCTCTACATAAAGTAGCTCTTTGTTCCCAAATACCAGGCAAAGCTCAGTGATGACGTTGCTTTTGGCTGATGGTAAATGCCTCTCTCCTTTCACTGCCAGCCTGAGGGTCTTAGCATTTTCATCCCTGACAGGTCTTGGCTGCCCGACAACGAGAACGCAGCCTGCGCTGGTTGTGCCCACCATCCAAGGCTCAGCTCAGGGTCATCAGGGAGAAGATTAGGAAAAAGAGTCGTACGGAGGCAGCCCTAAGGTGGGTGCAGATGTGCATAAGATGGGTGCACTCTCGTCGAACTTCCCTTTCAGAAGGAGCACCTTCCTGCTGATGATCATTCTTAAAAGATTATTCTCATTAGGTATTGGGGAGTACAGGTGGGAAGATCCTTTTCCATATATCATTCTGTGCCCAGCACTGGGATGCAGGGAAATTAGAGTCAGAAAACTTGGTCCTGCAAGCTACCCATGATAAGTTGGTTAACATCTTACTCCCTGGTCCTTAATTTCCTCCATCCATGCATGGACTCAGGAGAGGGGGGTGGGGCAGAGAAAAGAAAAAGACCAGCAACTTTTTAGAGCAAAAATGTGCTTTCAAACAGTTTATAGAAAAAAAGAAACACTATGGCACTTCCACCTATAGTTAGAGAATTGCAAATTAAAACTGGGGAAAAAAAAAATATATATATATATATATATCCATCCACAGGCTCTTTTGGTGAGCTGTGATAAAGTGCTCTCACACTGATAGGAATGTAAAAGGTACAGCCAGCCCCCATGGGGGAATTTGGAACTCTCTAGCACAAGTACAGATGTGCTTACCTTTTGCCCAGACTCCCCAATAGTAGGAATCACCCTTAAAGACACATTAGCAAAAATATGAGAAAACCCGAGCATAAGACAATTAGTGCAACATCTTGTGTAATAGAAATAGCTTAGGAATAACCACATCTTCCCAGGAGGACAGGGACAGCAAGGAGTTGTGTTTAGATATAACAAAAGCATGAGGAGCCCAGCACAGTGGAGCATGCCTATAACCTCAGCTGCTTAGGAGGGGGGAGGCAGAAGAATCCCAAGTTGGTGGCCAACCTCAGCAACTTAGCGAGACTCTTTCTCAAAATAAAAAAATAAAGACTTAGGCTGTCGCTCAGCAGTAGAATGCTTATCTAGCATGCAAAAGCCCTTGCATTTTCAGTAGTGGCAGGCAGGGTTGTGGGGGGGGGGGGCGGCGGCGGTGAGGATGGCTTTTAGGGAAAGACCTTCAGGATCTAATGGGAGAAGCTCCAAATAAAGAACTTGCTTGGTGTGCTTCCCCCGCTGCTTAACAGAAAGAATATGAATATGTATGCCCATGAGTCTGCTTATCTTAAAACATAGGAAAGGAAATTACATTTAACTTTAGAAAATGAGTGTTATGGAGAGAGAAGAATAAGATTTTAAAAAGATTTGTGTTAAGATTAAAATTTTGCCCTTACTGGTTAGATTCCACCTCAAAAATATTGGAAGCTTCTAGTCCTAGTTTTGAATTAAAAGTGTAGATATGAACTAATGTGGAATTTAAAACAAAAGAATAATATTTCCCTAGCTCCATTCACTAAGAAAAGAACTAGAAACAATCCAAGAGCAATAAGCCCCAGCACCTAGATTCCAGTCTACAGATACCATTTTCCACCAAAATAATAATAATAATAATAAATAAAATCCAGGAATTATTGGGATTTCTGATTTAAAGTCTGTGACAGAAAATACACAAGCTGCTCCTGAAACATTGTTTAATCAAAAGATTAATAACAACTAGAACCATCACCAAAGGACTCAGAAGCCAATTTTAAGGGAGTTCATGTTGGTCAAAGATGGGATAATTTGACACTAGATTAAAAATTGCAACTATAATGAATTAAAGGTTATGAAATATATTTAAAGCCATGAGTTTAGGATGATGCCAAAAACTGTAATAATTGCAACTAACGTTAGAAAACACCAGAAATCCCCTTTTTAAAAACTAGGAAATACTGTTGCCTTTCCCAATAAACTGCACCTCTGGGAAAATAACAGGAAAGGAGAAGGGAATTTTTTTTTCACAGAGGTATTCCAGCTGCTAGGTGAAGGCTAATGATGGAATTAGAACTTGAACGTTTTTTGCAGCTTTTAATTAATTAACTAATCTAGCCACTACTCATCAACAAAGGGCAATATAAAAGAAAGAAGGAGAGAGACCCAGAAATAATCAGACATTGTGTGTTTTCTGACCATCACCCCTAAGCCGGTCTATCCCGAAGAATTCAATCTTAATTTGATGAAGGTTGTTTTTTCTTTTGCAACTTATAGTTTATAGTGAGAACACACTAAATAACACTATAAGGAAGCAAAGACATACAAATCTATAGCACACAGAACCAATTTGTTCAACAAGTAAACTGCAAAGCAACCAAAAAGAGTTCCAGTAGGTACATAATATTAAGAGATATAACAGAAAAGTGGTTAGTGTATTACATCATATTAACATCATAAATAAGGAAAACCATATGATTCTCCCAGTAGATGTCCAGAATGCATGTGACAAAATCGAACATTAATTCATGAAAGAAGGAAACCCCAAAACTCAGCAAACTAGAAATAGAAAAGAAATATTCTAAGCTAATACAAAGGGTATCTATAAAAAATGCTTAGTCTAACATCATACTTGATGGTGAGACACTTTTAGATCAGGAACAAAGCAGAGATGTCTGTTCTCTCTCCCATTGAAAGTTATAATAGAAATCCTAGCAATTGTAACAAGAAAGAAAAAAAAAACATGAAAACAATATAGATTTGAATGAAAAAATAAAACCATCTACTAGCAGATGACAGGAATAGTCTTAACAGAAATTCCCAAATAATCTACAAAAATGACTACTAGAACTGATAAGTGAATTTAGCAAGCTGGTAGGATACAGGTCAATGTAAAAACATAAATCATGCTTCTATTACACCAGCACAAAATAATCAGAATTTAAGAGGCAATACCGTTTACCACAGCCCCAAAGAAATGAAGTATTTAGACATACATCTAAGAAAGAATTGAAGATCTGTGTGCTGAAACTCATGAAACTGTAATGAAAAAAAATTCCTAAATAGAAATACTGTGTGCATCAGTTGGGAGACTGACTTAATATTGTGTGAAGTCTTTCCAGTTTGATCTGTAGATTCAATGTAATTACAAACTAAAATCCCACAAGTCTTTTAAAATGGATACTGACAAACTGATTCTGACATGTATATGGAAAACAAAGAATTAGAATAGTCAAAAAATGTGAAAAAGGAACAGATTGGAAGATTGACACTATGCAATTTTAAGATATACTATAAGGCTGCAGAGACCAAGACTGTTGGTGTTTTGCAGCAGAATCAACACACAGCTCAATAAAAGAGACACATAGAACCACACAAATATGCTCAAGTGATTTTTTTTTATAAACAAAGACCATTCAATGGAAAAAAAATATATTCTTTTCAAAAATGGTGCTTAGAAAGTTGGATTTTGATGTGCAAGAAAAATAAATGTGAGTCTCAACATATCTCATACTTTATACAAAAATTTCCTCTCAGGATTCCATTAAAAATGTTCTGCAGAGGGAAAAACCTGGGTATATGCACAGAGGGTTATGAGGATGCTGACTTGAAAAATCTCTTCTTACAGAGACATTTCCATGTACATTCTCATGCTGCTCCTGCTTTTGTTAATAATATATGTGAAATTCTGCCCAGATGAATATTCTCTCAATCAAGCTATCCGGAAGGAATTTATAAGGTGAGAGATTTGAGGAATTCCTCTAGATCTGGGAGTTGTTGTACTAGTTCATGACCAGTGCACACCAAGAGGGAGCCCCGAGCTCAACATTCCAGAAGCAGCTTCCTTCACTTTGTTACGTGAGCAAGCCATATCACTTGTCACATCTTGGTCTTCTAGTACTGAAGGGGGAGCCCTACAGAAGTCTAGTCTACTTCTTGGGTCCATTTTACCTGTGCATGACTGAGGATCAGTGAAAGGTTTTCACCACATCCCACACACAAAATTTGAGAAAGATTCTCAAATTGACTCACTGGACATTATTTCCCCAGTGTTAATACGCCCCGGGGCCTCCATTTGCCAACTTTGAGCATGCTCTCAGCATCTCATTTTTGGTAAATAGTGAAACAAGGATATTCCAAGGCACTTTGAGGTCTAGGTCAAAACAGGGTCTTACAATTTCTTATTTGTGCAAGACATTAGAGTTCTTCAACCACAAGCTATGGTTGCAATTCATAATATATGACACCCAATTTCAAACTATCTATAATACTTCCTCAAGTATTCTACCATTTCTCAAGTGTTCATTTACTTCTTCCTGCTTTTAAAAATGGTAGAGTTTCCTGGAGAGCAGTATAGAGATTCCTCAAAAAACTAGAAATGGAACCACTATATGACCTAACTATCCCACTTCTTGATATTTTCCCAAAAGATCTAAAATCGGCATACTATGGCAATGGGACCAACTCCATATTTACAGCTAAATATTCTATAATAGCTAAATTATGGCATCAACCCAGGTGCCCATCAATAGAGGAATGGATTAAGAAATTGTGATATATATATATATATATATATATATATATATATATATATATACACACACACACACACACACACACACACACACACAAAATGGAGTTCTACTCAGCCATAAAGAAGAATGAAACTATGGCATTTGCTGGTAAATGGAGACTATCATGCTATGTGAAATAAACCAAACTGAGAAACTCAAAGGTCTAATGTATTCTCTCATATACAGAAGCTAGATTAAAATAAAGAAAAGGAAGAGGTAAGGATAAGATAATATAAAGAACTAATCAAATATAAATTAATAGATGAACAAAAGGAAATCGAGTAAAGGAAGGAGAATGGGAGAGAGGAGAGAGAACAGGAAGGAAAAGTGGGAGGATCATGAACTGAAATTGATTTTCATGCATGTATGAGTTTGTTGGGATGAATCCAACTACTATGTATAAATATATAGCTCTAATATAAAAATGAAAATAGTCGAATTTTGCTGGGTACAGTGGCACACTCCTGTAATCACAGCAAATAGGGAGGCTAAGGCAGGAGAATCACAAGTTTTAGGCCAGTCTTAGCAACTTAGTGAGCCCCTAAGCAACTAAGAAGACCCTATCTCAAAATTAAAAAAATAAAATAAAAAGGACTGGGGATGTGGTTAAGTGAGTTTCAATCCCCAGTACCAAAATAAATAAATAAATATAAAAATAAATTAAAACAGTAGAATTTCTTGTAATTCCAGCTACTTGGAAGGCTGAGGCAGAAGGATCACAAGTTGGAGGCCAGCCTCCACAACTTAGTGAGACCCTGACTCAAAATAAAAAAGAAAAAGAGTTGGGGATATGGCTCAGTAGTAAAGCTTCCCTGAGTTCAGTTCCCAGTACTGAAAATAAAATAAATAAACAAAGAATTTCGTGCGAGGTAAAAATGAAAGAACTTAAAAGTACAAAGCAGAAAAATTACCTTGATACCCCAAGGCAGAGTCATTTGTCAAGCTATTTTTCTTTTCCATGACTTAACATCTTTGAAATTGGGACACACATTGTAACCAACATATACATTTAAATCTAGCATTCCTTTTTCATTGAAAGTTGTTATTAAATCCATAATTGGACTTTATTTCACCTGTTAAAAACATTCTGTCTGATAGTTTTTTCAAGGAAGTGTGACTTTGAAATCTGAAGATCACAGAATGAGTTGATATTCTCAATGGCTTCAGTAATAGAAAGTAAAATATTTCTCTGTGTTCTGGGGTTTACATTCTCTTTCTCCAAAGAATATTTTTAAACAGATTTTTATAGCATTTCTATGAGCGTATTGCCTTTGACTAAGTAATTAAATTTGATAGAAATATTTTTTGCAGGAATGAATGGAAAATTCATATAATTTTATTTATTATTTAAGAACATTTGTTTTTATCTTCTGCAAAAGGGAGGTTTATTGATACCCAGTCAGATAATGACTAGTAAATGTCAAGCCCCTTGTTAGTTTTATGACTCACTAATGTGGTAAGACCTGAAAGTTCCAGTTCATTGAATCTGGATTCTCCAGAGCTCAATTATACAACATTTTATGGTAAAGCTCAGTGATATTTTCTGCCTACTCAATTGCAAAAGCAGCAATTATTTTTGTTGCTTTCTGACTTTTTAGGTCTCTCACCTGGGCAGGTGCACAAAATATGCCAGTAGGTGGCGATGTGAGCAAAACAAAATGACGATTTGCTGCGTTCTCTGGAAATGGAAATACAAACCCGAAAAACTGCTGACTTTGGCTAGTTTATTTTTTTAATCTTACATTTCATAAGTCAGCATTATCTGACATGTTTCTCATATGAATTGTTGCCACTTGGTATTCAAGTCAGAAATATCACAGCTGAGATAATATTTGTGAGATCTCGCACGTACTTGAGACCAATGTGCTTAGATGAACCGCTCAGATATTACCCCTGTGGTTTCTCAGAGACCTTATGATTCCACAAGGATGCAAAATCTCACTACCTCTGGATGGTCTAACCACAAGGCAGGGATACATTCTTATGTCCTGGTTCATATCGGAATGTTTAAAACTGGACCCTCTCTGCCTCACCTCACCATCCCCACCTCCCCCCACTACCCCAACACCTCACTCGCACCCCCATCCACCACTCCCTGATCCTGAAACATCAACAACTCCTGAAGGCTTGTTGTTTGTAGCATTCCAGAAAGAGGAGCTAAAGGCCAGGAGGGAAATGAATTACATGGACTAGGCTTCTGGCTTTCTTGTAGCTACCAGGTGACTGCCAGTCCTTTCTAGGCTATAGAATCTTCATCTGTAAAGTGAAGGAGTTGGGCTCCTGGGTTTCTGTGTCTTCACAAAAAGTTACCATATTATTGAATTCTGTCATATTTAAGGGGCATTTGAAGTGTTTCTGAACTCAATAAGGTCTTCATAAAATTCCAAGTAAAATAAAACAAAAATAAAGTACCAGTAAATGAAAAGAGCACTCTGTCCAAGTGCCAGGCATGGAAAATGAGGCTGATTTTATCTCTCACATTGTTTAGCTAGTTTTGTAGGCCTATTTTATATAATTGCTGTAATTAGTACAGACAGAGCCAGAGTATTCTTGGCTCATTTGGCTCACTACCTGCACTCCAGTGTGCCAGGAGTGCGTGTGAGATGAATTCACTCTGGTGTGGGATGTCTCAGCTTGAGTTTTGCTCCAGTCTTTCTTAACGTAGCTTCTTTCATGTTATCTCAACAGGGGCCAGAGTCAGACAGTGAGAACATTCCTTCAAAAGTCATGCAAACTTGGTCTGGGGATGTATTCAGTGATAGAGCACTTGCGTGGCATGAGAGAAGCCCTGGGTTCAATTCCCAGCCCTGGGAGGGAGGGAGTTATGCAAAATCAATGTAGCCATAAAATTTATACTACTTTATTTGATAATAACACAGGAGCATATTGGATAATAGGTATATAGTCAGTTTATCTGTCAAATAATCTTGCTTCTAAGAACAGATGGTTAACATTTCTCTGTTGAAAATTAAGGATCATCCTCTTCCCCTCCTCCTGCCCTTTCTGTCATTGCCTCTCCATCTTTCATGTTTTCCTTCCCCAGGGGCTGTGAATATTTGCAGAGCTGTATCTTCTTGTTTTATGTTCCCATCTCTGGTACCTCTCTGTTTCTTCTTCCCATCCTCTTGAAGTTTTGGTAGGTCTCCAACTTGCTCTGTGTTTGACATATAGTGGGACCAAAGTTTCAGAGAAGGGGAAAGTAGAGAATCAGCACCCAACAGGCAGCCTGCATAGGTTAGGCAAAACTAATGAAGCCCAAATATGTGAATGGAGAGGAGGTCCTCCATCTGTAGGAAAGATGAAATAAAACCAGTCAAATTAGCTAGCTGGAGTTTTATTCCCACATGTTATGGAAAATTTTGAACGTATTAATAGTGTATATAAATTGTTCATTGAGACTCTTTGCATCTTTCTCTAAACTTCTATGTTAATAACTTTTCTCTTTTTCTTGGATTCTTTTCCTTTTATATTGTCCAATTTTGTCATGCCTCTAAAATTTTAAAACACTTTTTCTCAATTATCTCCAAAAGCTGCCCTCAATCACCAATGAAATATCTACTCCAACTCTTGCCTGAGAACGTGTTCTCTGTGCTGTGCTGGCCAACATTTAACTGTCCTGTTCTCTCTGGAGAACAAGGGCACTGGCTTATAGCATCTGTCTGCCAATTTCCGTGGTGTAAATGCTCCCACCATTGTCCATTTCATGCTACCAAGGTGATATCCCTGAACATGGAGTTGGAAAGAGAAGTGCACAATTGGTTGTCAGGCACCCCCATCTCTGTAGCCTAACTTTGCTCAAGTCCACGACCACCATTTGAAGAACATATCTTGAGCTTGTACTTTGGAGGAATCTAGACTTGGTTGCTGGAATAGGCAGGACAATTAAACTTGTGTATACTTGAATGACTTCAGGTCATACCCTTCTCTATCTTCTTATCATTTTCAACAAAATCACTGTGTCCAATAAGTCTTCTGGTCTCCCCTTTTCATGGAGAAAGATCTGGATGAAACTTCTACATTTCTGTTTGCCATGGGTATTGCCATGAGCACCTTGTCCTTGCCCTTATTCATGTCCAGGTGGATATGAAGCCAGGTGGGAGGACTCTGCTCTGAGGAACATTTGTTCCCTTCCTTACACTTTGGCTCTGGTGCAGAGCTAGACTCATGCTTCCAACAGTAGCCTTGGGTGCACATGGTTCTTTCACATTGACTGAGCAAGCTGAGAATGGTACATTCTGTCAGGTTGAAATTAATTTAGTGCTTCCTTAAGTCCATCCCTTGGAGGAGAATGAAGCAGACATCTAATGAATACAATAAAGAAGCTAACTGGATCAAATGGTGATTCCACTCCAAATTTTCTAAGGAATCTCCATACTGCTTTCCAGATTGGTTGCACCAATTTGTAGTCCCACCAGCAATGTATGAGTGTGCCTCCCCCACCACCAACACTCCTCACCAATCCTTATGGTGGTTTGTATTCTTGATAACTGCCATTCTGACCGGCATGAGATGAAATCTTAGAGTAGTTTCAATTTGCGTTTCTCTAATTACTAGAGATGTTGAACATTTTTCCGTATATTTGTTGAGTAAATGTATATCTTCTTTTGAGAAGTGTCTAAAATAAGATGGACATCATTACCCTAGGTACATGTATGACTGCAAGTGTGCTGTGTCGCTACATCATGTACAACCAGAGAAATGAAAAGTTGTACTGCACTTGTGTACAATGAATCAAAATGCATTCTGCTATCATATATACCTAATTTAATTAATTAATTAATACTAAAAACATTTTTTTAAAAAGCTAACTGGATAAGCCAGGTATAGCTCAGTAGTACTTCGTTTGCCTAGCATGTATACGGTTGCAGCCCCAAGTAATAAAAAAGGCAGTTAATTGGAAACTAGCATTTGCTGATGTCCTACTATGTGCCAGGCTGCTCTTCAATTGGGCCTACTCATCCAACACTATGGGAGCAGGTTAAACACCGTGTCCTTCCACCAGTCAGTGGAGAGAGGACTGTGCCCTGGTCTGGGTGTCTGGCACCCTCTGCACCAGCCATACTGGCCACCCACTCCTAACTTCCCAAGCATATGGCTTCCTCTGCTGTCCTCTCCAGCCTGAAAACCTCCCCCTCAGATGACCATGAGACTCCTCCCTTGTGGCCTTCAGGCCTTTGCTGACTGGTCACCTCATATATTCCTTAGCCACTTGAACTAAATCCTTCAGCTTTCTCACCCTGCCACTTTCTGTCTGTCATTCGTGCTTAGATTTTCCCTCATTTGTATTTATCACTTACATAGTATGTTTTGCTTATGCAGATGATCCTTGATTTATGATGGGGTTAGGTCCTGATAAAGCCCTCATATACTGAGAGCACCCTAAGTCAGAAATGCACTTAACACCACCCGCCCAGTTCATCTTCCTCCTAACTTAGCCTGGCCTTCCTTGAACGTGCTAAGAACACTGACATTCACTTACTGTTGGTGTAGCATCTAACACAAAGCTTGTAATAAAGTGTGGAACATCTCATGGAATTTATTGAAAACTGTGCTGAAAGTGGACATTAGAGTGGCTGGATATGCTTTTCCACCATTGTACAGCCAAAAAAATTGCGGAGTTGAACCCACAGGGGACCACCTTATATCTTATTTGCTGTTCATTTCCCCACAGGAGGGCAGGGATTTTATTTTTCATTGCCAGTGCCTAGAAGAGGGTCTGGCATTTAGTAGTTGCACAGGAACATTTGTTGAGTGAATGTGTGAGTGAATGAACAAGTGCTTTGCCTGCTCTTCTCCTTTCTTTCCTGCCATGGAGGAGCAAAGGGAATTCCAGGATTTGTGCCTCACGCTATGGATGGCCTTGACTTAATTCCTGCAGAGAATCTAAAATTAAAAATTGGCAAGGGAAAAACCAGTTTTTGTTCTCAATTTTGATTGTTCTCAAGGATATAGAAATAACTTTTTTGTTGTTGTTTTTGTTCTTGAATTAAGAAATGCCAGACAATCCCTGGAGGGCCTGAGAAGCACTGATGACTGGTGGGACTGGTGTCTGACCACACTCCTGGATGGGCTGCACCTGGGAGGCCCCTCCGCCGCCGCCGCTGCTGCTACTCAGGGGACTCAGGTGGGCTTTCCTTTTCCTCTTCACTGCACATCACCCCAGAAGTCACTTGACAGGGGACCTGCAGCACCGTTTGGGTCCTGAATAACCACGTGGCTGTAAGGTCTGTGACTCTGCTCTGTGGGTGCCTTGGCCAACAGAGCACCCCACTACTTTCCCTTTCTGGAGCCCACTTACTCCTCCCATGTCACCCTCCTGGGTTCTGCAGGATGCTCCATGTTCTGCACTTGCCGAGCTGAACCAGACACAGGGGGACTTCTGGGAGACATGGGGGGCAGAGATGGAAGAATCTAGTTCAGTATGTAAAATACCATGGCAAAGGCACAAGGAGCATCTCAGAGCAGGGAGGAGCAAATGGCTAAGACAGGGCATCAAGGAAGCTTCCGGAAAAAGGCAAGTCTGATCCCAAGTTCAGAAGAAAAAGTGAATGTGCTTTTTGTATAATCCAATTCTTTGTTCATATTTTATTTTCTCCTCCCTCCCCTTTTAAAGATAAAGTATGTTTATCCTGCAGTCCTCAAACATTTTCTCATTTCATTTAGTTTATTCTCTATAGTTTTGTGGAATGACAACATTATTAAAACTTGAGAAAAAGATAAAAATAGATTATTCCTATGAAGTGCAAATTATAAAAACATCTTTTGAATGATGTTAGTCCTTTTCCATAATGAGGCTGGGGAGGGAGTTGTGTCTTTCTTAGAATGTTGCTTGCATCCTTGGAGTGTTTTTTAGAAGGAAGGATTTGGGCCCTGATAGACTAGGCAGTTACCAAGTATCCCCATGATTCCTTAGCACGACTTGAAGGTGGTGTTTGAGGTTTACAACATGCGCCTTCCTCTGAGTCTCTTTCTGTTCTTTAGCCTGGAGCCCTTGGTGGAAAATGCTACCTAATAGGCACTTCAGTAATTAAGCAGCAAAAAGTTTCTCCTTGCAGAATACACAAGGTAAGATGTTCTCCTTCTTTTACTTCTAAAAATAAACTTAATTAGAAAAGTCTGGGAGACACTGGTGCTGGAAGCTGGCAGATCTATTGGCTTCTCAGAGCACTAAAGGTGACTTGAACTTGTCAGGTGCCAGGGCTGGGAAGAGTGGGAGCCTGGCCTTCTTTCTCTCCTTGTGGACTGTTTCCAAATGCCTCTCCTAGGCTCAGCATTCTGCAGTAGGTTTGCTTGGTTCAGTTTTTCCTTAGAGATCTGGTGTTCTAGGTGAAAGCAAGAATTTTAAAATCTAAAAGTCTAAAAATAAAATATTAACATATTCTTTGCTAGAAATATCCAAAATATGACATTTTACTTGTATCATCCCTTAATGGGATCTGCATCTGTCCAAGCCTCAGACTGCTCATGTACTGACTTTCAATAGGTAGAGCCTTGATCCCTCTAGCTCATGCTAGATCCCAGAGACTATGAGACAGGCTGAAAAATGGTCCTGAGTAGAGCAGGGCACCTTGTTATATTATGTGCATGCAGGGCTTGGAAACCCCAGAATACAATGAACCTGGGAACAGCGGTTAGTGGCTTCTTCTAATTGGTAGCTTGTCCTACAGCCTCCCAGGCCATTTTCAGCGCTTCTCGAGGACTCTTCTCCTACATGCAGCCCTGCAAATGGAGGTTTTGAGAACCAAAATGTGACCCCTGGTGGTCCCAGGGTCTGGGGGTTGAGAAAAGAGGACTTCGTGCTCAGCCTGGGCAGAACAAGGTCAGTGCGAGTCAGAAGCCAGCATTCATCTGAACCTGCTGGGCAGCTCCTGGCCCAGACACCACTGGATGTGCCCATCTGCACAGGTGCTGCAGGCTCCAGAGGCAGGCACAGCACTTTCATGGCCTGCACAGTACTTGTTATTGCTGTGATGTGATGAAGAGCTGTACTTTAGGGTGTGAGAAAACTCAGCCTTGGGCCTGCAGACTAAGCACATGGGGGAGAAGAGAGCAGAATGTTCTCCCAAAAAGTGGCTACTAGAGCCTCCCAAGGCTACAGAGGTTTTGTTCTATGCTGACTGTGCTGATCAGGGTGTTTACATGTCCCCAGATGTGGAGTAGGACTGTCACTTCTTCGTGTCAACACCAGGAAGATGAGGAGCAGACACCGCCCACACTGTGGCCAGACCTGTGGTCAGGTGGCCTGCCCCATCCTGCCAGAACCCTTTGCTCATCCCCACCTTCCTGGCTCCCTGAGCAGCCTTCATCCCATACCAGGATGGGGTTCTGCTTACAGCAGGAGGAAGTCTTTACAGTTGCAGTAATATGCATTTCGAGGACTAGAAAATTTTAAAAGGAAATGATTTAATTTTTACTAAACATGGATTAATAAAAAATGTTAAAAATGAAGACCATTGCCCAAAGAGGAAAATGAATATTTTAGAGCACTTGGGGTGGAATATCGGGCATCTCTGCCTCACATCACACAAGTGAGGCATGGAGAACCTCCCATGGCCTGGATTCTATCCTGCCTGTGCACCCCTTTGGCTGTTGCAGGGAAGAGAGTGGAACATAGGGAGAGGAACAGTGAGCTTCTAGGGAGAGTGTCCCTAATATAGAGAAAGGCCATTTGAAGCCCAGGTGTTGCTTGTCCTTGTGAAGGCTTACACCAGGTAGTCCCAGCATGGGGCTGTGGCTGAATTTTTCTGTGGATTTCAAAGCTTGACTCCTGATCTTCCCTCTGAACTTGTGCTGCTTTGCAGGCCTGAAGCCCAGGCGGCCCTGACTGCACTCAGGGCCAGCAGATGGATTGACCACAGCACCAGGGCTGTGTCTGTGCATTTCACCCTCTACAACCCTCCAACCAGACTTTTCACGAGTGTGACCATGAGCGCGGAGGTCCTCCCCACTGGGGATCTTGTCCCCTCATCTCTGATAGAGTCCTTCCGAATCTTCCGCGGTGACTCAGCCCTTTGGTATTCTCTTGTGCTCCCTGAGGTGAGCTCACCTGCACTTGGCCTCCTGGACTAGCATGGGGGGAGGGGCCTCACAGAACAGAGTATTCCCACCAAGCAGGACCAACACACTCTGTAGGCCCACCCCTCACCTACGCCCTTGTTGTGTCTCTTACACATAGCAGAATTTGTGCTAGGTGTTGAGCACAAGTGGCTGGGGAGGCTGAGGCAGGAGGATCATGAGTTCAAAGCCAACCTCATCACTTAGTGAGGCCCCAAGCAACTCAGTGAGACCCTGTCTCTAAATAAAATATCAAAAATGGCTGAGGATGTGGTTCAGTGGTTAATTGCCCATGGATGAATTGAATCATCCCTGGTACCAAAAAAAAAAAAAAAAAAGGAAAAAGAAAAAGAAAGCAATCATCATATACAAGGCAAGCACAAATACAGAGCTGGGTAGATGCACTAATTTTTCATAGGAGGATTGGGGCAAATATCTAGATCAGTCTAGGTCTCTTAAGACTCCTAAGATGGGCATCAGTTACTGTGACACAGTCGACTGTGGTCTGACAATATTTAATTAAAAATTCCAGAAGAAAATAAGTCATGAGTTTTAAGCAACTTTATCATAGTATATGGCTATAATTATTCTATTTTATTATTAATTATTGATGTTAATTTCATATGTGCTGAATTTATAAGTCAATCCTTATTAGAGATATGAATTCATAGAAAAAACACAGAATATCTAGGAATCAGTATTCTTTACAGCTTCAGACACTCACTGGGGGTCTTGAAATGTATTCCCCTCAGATGAGGGAGGTACTGCCATACAAAGTCTGAGAGGCTTAAATAACAGGCATTTGTTTAACACAGTTCTGGAGGCTAGAAGTTCAAGATCAAGACACCAGAAGGACGGGCTCTGATGAGGTCTCTCTTCTTGGCTGATAGACAGCCACCTTCTCACTGTGTCCTCCCATGGCCCCTTCTGTGCTCAAGTGAATGAGAAGAGAGCTTATGGCATTTCTGGCTGCTCTGTGTGAGAGGACACGAATTCTATAGGATCGGGCCCCACGCTCTTGCCCTCAGTTAATCTCAGAAACTTCCTTTGAGGCCCCATCCTCAAACACAGACACACAGAAGGTTCCAGGTCCCAGACTTTTGGGCCACAAACTTTGGTCCCTTGCACCAGGGCTCTGGATGAGATGGAGTGGCTCAGTAGCTTCACTGATCTGTGAAAAGCACCAGAGTCATTTCGAGCCTTTTCTTAGAAACTTTTGCTAGAATGAGGCCTTATTTAGCTTTTCTGCCTCAGAGAACCAAGTCCCATTCTTACTTCCAATTATGTTGGTAGCTTCTTAGAACAGGTCCATGGGCATAGGCACATGGCTCCAAAAAGGACAGAGAGAAATTCATGAAGGCCCTGCTAATGGGTTTCAATCCCACATAAATACATGAGTAATTTGGAATTTTTTATTAACCTTTATTTTATTTTATTTATTTTTATGTGTTGCTGAGGATAGAACCCAACCCAGTGTTTCACGTGTACTAGGCAAGCACTCCACTACTGAGCTATAACTCCAGCCCCAATAATTTAGAGTTTGAACTAGTGCTGAATGAGGGTATGAATAAATGGGTAACTCATCACTGGTAAGAAAACTGCTATAAGATCTTTATCAGGAGCTTTTAAAGACTTTATGTGGTCAAAAATATTTATATATAGATGTCATATTTCATACATATATGTGTATGTGTGTGTGTATAGACACACACACACACACACACACACACAGTCTTTGGTGGTGCTGAGGAAGGCCTAGAGTGGCCAGCATAAAGGCTAGGAAGCCTGATTTTGGCAGTGGACACTCCCATGGTGGTTCTGATGCCTGCAGTGCCGACACCCAGCATAGTTGGGTTTCTATGAGAGCTTGACACATAAAGTGGTACCACCCTGCCCAAGAGCCATTGCAGGACAAGTTCATTATCAAATGCTACAGAGCAAGAATGTGGCTTGCATCATGTTTATTCAGAAGTGATTGGCAAGAAAGGTTCTTGGCAGCCAGAAAGTTAGACTTCTGAAAAACATTTGAATTTCCACTTATCTTGCATGTTTGTATCGCCCTCACCAGCTGGTCTTCCTGGTACTCAACCTGATTCACCTCTGCTTTCAACTCTGTAGAATGGTTGAGGAGGGTGTCCTCGACTATTGGCAAAAGCCAAGGAGCTGGCTGGAGGTAACTGTCTTAAGTCATTTTCTTTGTGAGAAAAAAATGTCAATAATGTATTTTTGTCTGAAAAGAACAAATCTTTTTAATGGGAAGTTGATTATGCACTAGCTAATTGCAACATCATTACAGTGTCTCCCTCTATCATGTTAATGCTGAAACAGCATTTGAAACCACGTCTACTGAACACTCTTGCAGTTGATTTATGGACCAAACATGGTCAGATGCCAGGCAACCCCTCCTTAGGAGCTGGCTGAGCCTCCCCCTTTCTCCTCATTGCTGCAGCTCTCTGTTATTGGAGTGACCCTCACCTACTACACAGCCTCCAGCCACCTCACCACCCTTGCTGGGGATGTCACTGACCAGTTCCACAAAGGATTTTGTCAGGTGTCTGTGGACCTCAGTCTTATGGCGTTGTGGAATCAGGTATGGTGGGGGACTCAGGGCTACACAGAGAGGTACCATGACTGATGCTGTCCAAAAGGCAAAGTTCACAAAAGGTCTAAAAGGTGTGATCGGTTTGTTTCATGTTGAGTGACAATGCTCTGAGCTTGCAGAAGATGGTGGCCAGAACAGTTAGGGGCCTGGAAAACTTAAGACATGCTTTGCAAGCTGGGGTATGTGGATTCTGCATGGGGCAGAACTATATGGCTTGATACTCTTTGGGTTACTAAATTTCATGAGGAAGCAGGTGTCCATGCAGTATGGAGGAAGGAGGCCAGGCTGACATGTATAGGTGCACTGTGTCTTTCTCCCTTCATCTGTGACAATCCTAGACACAGGTGATCTTTACCAGTGATGATCCTGAGGCTCAAGGAAAAGCCCAAATCTCACAATAGGGGGACATCCAGCTTCCAAGTCCCTGTACCTTAATCCCCCCTGAGGCTCCCATCTATAGGATGGAACATTTTGCCAGAAGGATCAGGCAAACATGTGCAGGACAGGACAGGTAAGCCCTAGGGATGGGTGCCACAGGACAAGGATCCCACACCACCTGCAGGACCTTCTGCAGGTCCACTGCCTTATGCCGTGATGGGTTTGTGGAAGTTGAACCCACACATTCCTTGTCCTGTTACACCCACAGCTAATACTTCCTTCATCTAAAGACCTCCCTAGACCTCCATTTCTACACCTAGAGGGCCCCAGGGCCCCCCCATAGCCTGAATTGACCTCATGTCCCAGGGCTCATTGGTCCCAGAGCAACCTGGCAGACAAGGGACCAGTTCCCCTCCAGCCTCCACCCCCCCACTCAGCTCTGCCATTTCCCCTCCCTCTCCTCTTGCTCCTCCTGTGATCTTGCCCTGACCTGGCTCTCCAGTCTGCCATGTAGGGAGGCCTGCTGGTCTTCCCCCACTGAAGCTAAGCCCTCCCTTCCTGGCCAAATGTTGTCCCTGTCTCCTTTTGGAAGTCATTTTGTTGAAAGCCCCAGGAACTCACTAGCCCAGAGAATAATATGTGCTCTAAAGTAGCCCACACAGGGGAATATCTGGCTTTCATCTTGAAGGAAAAGAATACAAATTGTCTTTCTTTGCAAATGTCACTAGAACTACAGAGCTTCTTGAAGAGTCTTGAGCCCTCCTGGGAAAGAGAGAGTACCATGCACCCGCTAAAAGCTCACTGCCCCCTCAGTAGTGCATGAGCTCAGCAGAGGTTCATGATTCCTGGGGCCGGGCACAAATTATGTAGTCATCTTCAGGTCTTTAAAAGGTAGAACCATGATATACAACCTAAGGGTTTTCCTAGCAGTTGAGCTGGGGGAGGGAGTATGTGTTTGTACATATACATACATGTATGCATACCCCTCAAGCACAGAGCTTGGTACATGGTGGTGTCTGGTAAGTGAAAGTTATAATAATAATAACAACTAGGAACACTTTATGATAACCCTCAAATAAAATGTAGTCCAGACAGGGGTCCTTTCCACTCTGCCCACAGGGAGTTCATAGATATACTGTCCAATTTCATAACCATGAGCCACATGTGGCTGTTGAGAATTTGAAATGTGGCTAGTCCAAACTGAGATGTGCTACAAGTGTGAAATAATCGGTGGATTTTACAAATTTAGTATGAAAATATCTCAGTAATTCTTATACATGGGAATGATATTTTTTAGATATATTGGTTTTAATAAAATTTCCCTGTTTACTTTTACTTTTTAAAATGCATGAACTAGAAAATTTGAAATTCCACTGTAGCTTGCATTTTATTTCTCCTGCCAGGCACATGCTATAGTTCTGATCATGCCTGTTCTCTCCAAGCAGAGCCATGCCTGCTTGCTCTAAGGTGTGATAGTCACAGCTTCTCTAGGCCTTGGTTTTCAGAGGTCATTTTGATTTTCTCTAAAAAAAAAAAAAAAAAAAAAAAAAATCAGAAAACTTTTCTCCTTTGCCCACATAGTTTTTTAAACATCCAACTTTTATTTCTTTCTCTTCAACTTATCATCTTGGTGAGAACAGATGATATCATACATAAGAAAGCATCCTTTAGAAATGAGCCCCCTTTAAAAAGGTGAGCTATCTTCTTAGAGTATCTATGGATGTGAATGCCGGTGCTGGATACAGGTCTGAGAGGCTGAGTTGGATCTGCCATGTCTCTTGCTGTGCTACTTTTGTTTGATCACTTCATTTATTGGATCTATAGTCTCTAGAGGTATAAAATGGAAATGCTTCTAATTTTTATAAGGATTAAAATTGAAAAATCTGCATGAAAAGCATTATTAACTTGGAACATATTCTGTACATATGAAGAGGAGAAGAAATTAGTCTGCACTGCACATTTTCTTTGTCACCTCCCACCCCATGGTGGTGGTTTTCTTACAATACAGTTCACCCCAAGCTCAGGTAGCAAAATGGCCAGACCTGCCCTGTCCTGATGTTTACAGAAATTCAAGGCCAGAACTCAGACCTGGTCTTCCTGAAAATGTTCTAATTTGAACTTCCTCCTGGTTCTGGCTCATTCTCCTCTGCAGACATTGATATTCATATTCCTGGAAGATTCATGGTCTGTATAGCTCCATCTCTTCATGCATGACTCACAGGTGTGTGCGTGCCTCTGCACTGTCCTATGATTGGCATGACACACTGACCTGCTGTGTTTTTCTGTTGCAGCGGACACGATGGCTCCAGGGGATCCTCTCATTCCTGTGGATATTGAAAGGCATTTACCTTCTTGGCTCCTTAAACACCACAGTGTCCTGCCCTTCCATGATACATTCCTCTCTCTCCAGAGTCTTTGCACCAGTGGTAAGAATTGTCCCTCTTTACCCAGGGATTTCTCAGCTCAGCCATATGTTGGCATACTGTCATTGGTTAGGGAAAAACAAACCTCTCTCAAGGTGATTCACCACCCTAAATTCCAGTCCTCTAATCCATTACAGTGTGGATTTAGATAACTGAAAGCAGTAGTTATATCATAAATTATGGTCATAACAATAACCATGATTTATTAAACACTTGCTATGTATTATACTTTCCTGCAGCATATTATTTGTACTACTATTGTAAGTAGTTATTATCACTTACTGAGTTTTCTAAGTGTCCAGTGTGGTCAGTGGTGCCTTTTGTATGTTAACTCACTTAAAAATCACAATAAGCTATGGGAAGACCTAGCAGTTTTCCTTAGGAAGGTAGCAAAGGGCTAAGAAAGAGGATGAGGCTTACCTTGGAGCCGTAACTCCTAGGAACTTAGTTACTACAACCATGCTCTGCTTCTGGGAAGACCTCTAACCTCACCCTGGCATCCATTTGTCACCCTGACCCTACACCTAAGGAATTCTCTACTAATATGCCAGAAATTATTTTCATATTATTTAATTCACTAGTATAGTCATACAATATCAGTGGAACACAATAGAAAGAAAACAAAAGCAGACAGGTAGTAGTAGTTACCTCTCTGTATGAGTTCTCAGGAATGCCTGGCTTAACCCCAGGAGACATTAGATCTTCATCCAGGGTGGACCTAAAGTCTAGATTAGAGGGTACAGTCCAAGATCAGCAGGTCCAGAGTGCAATCTGTAGCCTTGATGAAGTTCGTGGGTGCTGGTAATTCTAATCTGGTTGCTCCAGCCATACTGGCTCTAGTGTAATGTGGGTTCCCTAACCTGCACAGAATAAGTCAGGCTGAGGTAGAGTCTTGCCAGAAGACCTGAGTGAAGAGGCTCTGGCTCTCAGGTCCAGGACTCAAGAAACACACAAGGAATCAAGCATAGGTCTCCTGCTTCAGGGAACATGATCCCCAGACTCTGCTGGTTGTGTGTATAGAGGGACAGGCTCAGAAAAGCAAGGCCAAGAGAGCAGACCTTGGAGTCAGAAAGAACTGCTTTCCATTTTATCTGCTCCATTCCTAGCTCACCATTGTGACCACAAACCAATAACCCAACCTCCACCTCTAGGAAATATATCAATGCTATTTACCTGGGAGGATAATCTCTATCCTTATATGTGGAATTTATCCAGAAACTCAGCTGGTCATTATTAACACCACTGAGCAAAAATTCTTCTATGGGGAGAAAAAAAAACCCATAATATAAACAGATGTCTATTTATTGTAGGACAAAGTATGAATGAATGCACTGGAACCTAAGAAGTCCAGGTAGACCACTAGCTTAATTTTCTGAACTCACAGATTGAACTCACAGATTGCACTCTCTTCCTTCTGAGTTCCACTAAGTTTGTGTGATTCTACATGCAAAGTAAATAATACTACACTTAGTTCCTGGGTAGGAGCAGGGGAGTTTGGGTGCAGGGCCAAAATGACAGGTGGAGTCAATGCCCTGCACAAGCACAGAACACGGCTGTGGCTGCAGCTTGGGAGGCCCCCAGTGGCCAGGCCATGGTCCACTTACACAGACCTGTGACAGATGACTAGCTGGTGATCTTTCATCCAGACTGAAAACATGCTTGTCAGTACCAGAGGTGGATCGAGTGGATGGAGTAAGAAATAAACCATGATATAGATGCAGTCCCTGAGGCCCCAGACTAAGATCTCTGTCTAGTATAGCCCAGACTGTGAGCTTAACTGGAACCAAATTCACTCAGAATTGACTTTTCTATTGCTTCTTAAATGGCCTATTTTACTGAGTCCTTGCTGGATTCTGGGGACATAAAGAAGAGAAGTGCCCCCACGTGGCCTCCTGTTGGAGTAGGAGTTGGGGGGGCGGGATTCCAGCATGGGTGGGGGAAGGGGACAGGCCGCCAATGTCAAAGGCAGACAGAAGGGAATCAACTGAGAGAGGACAATGGCACCAGGTAGGAAGAGCAATTGGGATACAGAGGAGCACCTTGCAGAGCTTCTTGGTATTGGAGGGTGAGGGTACAGATGAGAACAGAGACTCCTGGGCAGAAGAGAAGGGATGGAGATTAGCCTTTCAGGAATTGGTCTTGAACCAGGGTGGGCAAGAGCCTCACTCCACAAACTGTTTCTCCAAGATTTTCACTATTTAAAAGTATTTAAAACCCCCCAGAGGTGCCATGTCTTCTATCCCAAGAAGTGCTGACAAGGTCATTGTCTCAGGCTTTTCTCTCTGCAGCTGATGGGGGCCCTACTGCTGGTCACCCACTCCCACCTGCACTGGTTTCTGCTCTTCACCTGGACACTGACATCGGTCACCTTTGCAGATTTCTTCCCCAGGCTGCTATTTCATTTTCCAGGAAGAAGCCAAAAAAATTCATTCCACAGCCTTTCTGAGTCTGACCAGGAAGACATGGCTCGTTACTGTGGGGCCCTCTTTCTGTTGACAGCCATGTTGTGTTTTGGAATGGTATGTAAACCTGTCCCACGCTTGAAATCAAAGACTATCAAAGTTCCATCTGCTGTTGGGATGAAATATTCTTTGTCCATGTGGACAGAAAGTTCCAGGCTTTACAGACCAGATCTCATGGGAACGGATCCCAAGGCCCATATAATCTATTATGGGAAGGGGTCCAATGCAGTTAGTTTGATTCTGTCTTTGCCTAGAGCATTCCAGCAACCTAACATCCACCCCAGGAGGCTACCTCCTCCAGGAAGCCTTCCAGGACCCTTGCCCTACCCTGAATCATCACATCTCTTCTCACTCTGAACTTGACCTCAAGTTGTTACAGGTAATCTAATCATACAAGCTTCACATTACACTTCTCTGAGATGGAGGCCATTTGTGGAATGGGACTGTTTCGTGCCTACCCACTGATCAGCAACTGGCAAATCTAGTCATGTCACTCAGCATAAACCCCTTTGACAGAGGATGAGATTGTTTTGTGCTCTAACCATGCAGCCCTCATGTAGGACTGACAGAGTTAGCAAATAAAAATACAGAACATCCAGTTACTTCAATTTCAATACAATGAATAATTGTTTCATATCAGTATGTCTCCTTCAATAATTCAGATACATTTATTTTAAAAATTATTTGTTACTTACAGGAAATTAAAATGTAACTGGCCCTGTATTTTATGTGACCACCCCACTGCTCAGTTCTCACCTGCTCTGCCCAGCTTCTTCCCAGGGGCCACTCTAGGCCACAGTGTTCACATCATAAGGGGTGGGCCAGGGATGCAGTGGCTACAGGTGTTCCTGTTGAAGACTCAGGGTTGGAGTCTTATCACCACAGCTTCTTCTTGTCAATAGGGAACAGCTTACCTGTGAAGTTTCATAGGATACACAAAAGCAGTCTTTAAATGGCTTAAATTTTGCTTCTTTGGGTTATTTTTAAGAAATCTGAAGGTATAAAAAATTATTTGGTGCCATCAGAATTTTGAGCTAACAGGTATCAGTGTGAACTAAGGAAATAAACAACCTAGGGATCCATAAGACGCAGAATCATTTAGATAACATACATGAGGACCCAGCATCCTGCCGAGTCTCTGGGTTCTTTCAATATCCCAGGCACAGGCAGATGCTCCCATGTAGGGTTTCCAGAGGCCACAGTGGCTAGCACAGAGCATTGAAGCTGAGATGTAGACAATATAAATGAAAACACATATCATATAAATAATATTAGCTCCAACTGTTAATTTCCATTGCCAAGTTCATATTGCTGCCATTTAATTTAATTCATGAAATACATTTTCTTAATTTTTTCTTTTTACCAAGCAGTTACTAAAAATTGATAGACTGGCATCATGGGACATAATCTCTATTTCATTGTTTATCAAATTAACAAAGTGTGCTAACAAAGAATTTTTCCATTTTATTTTCTTCTCCAGCTGAGAGGTTCCCTGGTGACTTATTTCCAAAAAAGAAAATCTTCTCACAGTAAATCTCTTGTGAGATTTAAAGACATCACTGCTTACACATGGGTGAAGGCCCTCACCTTTCTGGGTCTGGAAATGCCAAAGCCGGAAGAAGCTCAGGTGGTTGCAGATCATGTAAGACATGGGAACCTAGAGTAGTGAGCATAGTAGCACACTTAAATTGGTGATTTCACTGCAGAATTTTGCTTTTGTTATCAAAATGTGATCATGATTCTTTGCCAGATATCAGTGTGAAGTGTCAAATGTTAGGTCTCAGCCATAATGGAGCTCTTAGAATTCTCCCTTGAGATTCTAAAGTACTTTGCAATTTACCAAGCACATTCTCTACATTAACTCACTAAATCCTTATAATGACCCTGTATGGTTAGAAAGATGGAGTTTCTGCCCCAGGACACAAATTTTTTTATTCAGCATTTTTGTTGCTGTGACCAAAAGACCTGGCAAGAACAATTAGAGGAGGAAAACTTTATTTGGACCACAGTTTCAGAGGTCTGAGTCCACAGATAGCTGATTCCATCTGGGTTCAAGATGAGGCAGAACATGATGGCAGAATGGTGTAGAGGAGGAAGACAGCTCAGGGCATGGCAATCAGGAAACAGAGAGAGAGCTCTCTTCAGGAGGGACAAAATATAAACCCCAAGCCACACCCCCTGTAACCCAGCCACACCCTGCCTGCCTACAGTTACCACCCAGTTAATCCTCATCAATGGGTTACAACTCTCATCATCTAATTATTTCCCCTCTATACCTTCTTGCACTGTCTCACACATGAGCTTTTGAGGGCACCTCATAGATAAACATAACACACATACATTATATTCTGTCCCCTTTAGTTAGTCATTCGCTTTTGGTATGTGTTACCAGACAAAAACTCCTACCTAAAACTTGGAACCCTAGGAACAGTTGGGTGTAGTCACACCAGACATGAGTGCCAACAAAGCCAAACAGGTATTTATTTGCACAGTGAATATTCAACTGTCTTCCATGGCTGATATTTATGTATTACTTGGTGCAGTTCTGAAGCTTGTCATATGTAATCATGATACTGTAGATTTGCACAGGACTCTACTCTGTCCTGTGTTTCCCCACTTCCCTACTGATTACAGCAATTATCTTTTATGAAGACATCATTAACCAAAGCATTTATGCAAATATCAGCATATGCACAATATCAGTGAAGGGACAGAGACATGGAGACATGAAGAGACAGGTCTAGTTCCAAGGTCCTGTGACCCCATGGTTCAGTGCATTTTCTAACATAGCACAATCCCTCAAAGTTGGTACCTTTAAATGCTTCAGAAAATAAAAAACAATTACATTCTTGAATGCATATACTTAACTTTCTTCCCTTCAGAATTATTACTGGGATGAATTTGCAAGTCTGTTAGACGAACTTCTGATGAAGATTGATGGGTTGTCTGAAAGCCTAGAACTCTCTCTTCCAGAAACACAACACAGGAGTACAGTGGAGGCAAGAGCAGAAGAGAGTCCTTTAGTGGGTGTTTCAGGTTTCCAAGCCACTGAGGTAAGATTTTGCAAAATTATTTTTGTCAGTTTTCTTTAGAGCAAAGGTTCTAGAGTTCTAAAATTGTTCTGAAATAGTTGCAAATAACAAGGTTGATTTGCATGAATATTCTCTAAAGATAATACCAACATAAAATATACTTTGGTCAGAACTAAGAAACTGCCTAACAATTTAAAATGTATGGCAAGACTTCCAATTTAAAATGATGGCATTAGTATCCATCTGCCCTATCATTTTTTATTACAACTGGAATCAACTCAAAGAGACTGAAAAAAAGAAATAAAAGTTCCATCCACCCCCCGCAAAGAAACTAAGAAATAGCTATGAACCAGAATATGACCAGCAATCCTATAAATGACTGCCAAGTACACTCAAAATTAAACTAGTGGGAGAAAGAACACCACCACTTCCAAGACAGGACTAAAATCTCCAAATTAGTATTTTTGAAGGTTCCAGCTAAAGACCCTCTTTTTGGAATAAAATTTTGTAAAGCAAAATGGAGTTAAAAGGATATTCCTGAACCTAAGACCACACAGATCTAGGGAGAGAGAACCAAAGAGAGAGTATGTGGGAAACCATCCTTTGTGAGATGCTGTCTGTTGATGTAGCAGCTTGGAGGAGGAACAACAACTGGTGGCTCACAGACCTGGAGCTGTACTCCTTCAACTAAAGAAAAATCTGCACAGGTGAACACTTCATGTGCTGGGTTACAATGTGAAAAAGAAAGGTATATCCTTAGCTCCAGTGGTACAGACATTCCAGTGGCAAATTCCCTGAGACCCAGAGAGATGCTCTGTCAGCCCAAAGCATTCGTTTTCCATGTCTGAGTGGCAGTGAATGCTCCCTGAACACAGGAGAACAGAAGTGCCTGCAACCAGCTCATTACCTCAACCCTTCCCTGGTCCCAGTTAATAGCTCCTTGGGAAGATGAGCTCTCCAATGTAGACATGAGTAGTAACAATAAAAGTGGATCATTCCGGGGCTGGGGTGCTGGCTCAGTGGCAGAGTGCTTGCCTAGCATTGTGTGAGACACTTGGTTCAATTCTCAACACCACATAAAATGAATAAATAAAAATAAAGGTATTGTGTCCATCTACAACTAAAAAAAATTGATCATTCCTGGATCTATGCAAACATCTGCAGGAAAAGGTAAGAAATAAAAATGACCAAATGAGAAAAAGAGGAAGATCGTAACTTTAAAAACATTGCTGCAGATGGGTAAAAATTGTAACCAAGAAGATCGTTTCTGCCTTCCTGCCTTCCTTCCTCCCTCCCTCCCTTCCTTCCTTCCTTCCTTCCTAGTTATAGTTAGACATAATAGTTGGGTTCATTTTAACATAATCACACATGCATGGAATTTACTCCATTTCAGTACCCAGTGCCCTCCTCTACCCTCTCTTCCTCCCCCCCACCATTCTTCTTCTTCTACTTTACTGAAAATCAAGATATTTTGTCATGAAAAATAACTTAGTGAAAAAAAAATGACTTTTAGAAAAAGGAATGCAAAACCAAGATTAAGGAGTTTCAAAGATGAAATGAAAAGAATAAAATGAAAGATGTGAGAAAAGAAATGGGGAAAACTATACACAGACAAAGAAGAAAAGCAAGAGTAATAGGTTCACAGAAAAGAAAGGAAAGGGTATGGATAAAGGTTTAAAAAAATTCAATATAAATAAGTTTAACCCCCAGGTGTGGTGGTGCATTCCTATGATCCCAGTGGCTCAGGAGGCTGAGGCAGGAAGATCATGAGTTCAAAGCCAGCCTCAGCAACATGAGATGCTAAGCAACCCAGTAGAACCTGTCCCTAAATAAAATACAAAACAGAACAGGGGATATGTCTCAGTGATAGAGTGCCCCTGAGTTCAATCTCCAGTACCCCAAAATTTAAAAAATTAGTATATTTAACCAATAGTTAAAATTGATTTTAGGAATAAAATAGGCATAGAAATCAGTCAAAAGGGTGTAATTAGTGTTTACCCAACAAAAAGTTGACCAGGAAAAGTATGTATTTAAAGAAAAAATTTTAAGATTTTCATGGGACTGGGGTTGTGACTCAGTGGTAGAGTGCTTGTCTCGCATGTGTGGAGCACTGGGTTTGATCATTAGAACCACATAAATAAATAAATAAAATAAAGGGATTGTGTCCATTTACAACTAAAATGTTTTTTAAAAAGACTTTCCTGAAATAAAGATATACACTTACACAGATTTTCTAGATTAACAATAAGATCACACCTTGCTAAACCCATCATAAACTTTTAGCTCTGTAAGTTGAAATACATTTGATACATCTAAAGTACCAAACACTATAGCTTAGCAACTTACAGGACACTGTAGAATATCAACCTTTTCCCCTTGAGATCTTGGAGCTGACTGAGAGCCACAGCTCTGGGTGCAGCTGCCTTTGCTTCACTTTAGAGCTGAAAAATCCTAAGTCTAATCATTGTAAGTCAGGAATAACCTGTGTATCTAAAAAGGAACCATATCCCAGGAAAGAAATGGGTTTAAATCAATTAAAACTAGAGAAAGTCCTAAAAAGTTTGTTATTGAACTTAAATAGTAATATATTTCTATTGATAACCAGATCCCTTCTTTCTCCCCCCAAATCAAACCACCTCCAAGTGATTTAGAATTATTTAAGTTACTTAACATTTTTCATTGCTTACCAGTTATTATTTTAATTAAATCTATTTGAATGTACATGTGAGTTGGAAATCGAACAAATGACCAGACAAATGAAATTTTTAGAGAATAGGAAATACAATGACCAGTTGTGTAAAAACTCAGGGAGAACTCAGTTGTGTAACCATCCAGTCCTGGGATTTTCTTGGTTGGAAGGCTTCTGATGGTATCCTCAATTTCCTTACTTGAAATTGATTTGTTTAAATTGTGTATATCATTCTGATTTAATTTGGGCATATGATATGCCTCTAGAAATTTGTCAATACCTTCAATATTTGCTCTTTTATTGGAATACAAATTTTCAAAATAATTTCTAATTATGTTCTGTATTTCTGTACTATCTGTCATAATATTTCCTTTTCATCACAGATGTTAGTATTTTGAGTTTTCTATCTCCTTCTCTTCATTAGCATGGCTAATGTTTAATAATTTTATTTATTTGTTTATAATGAATCAACTTTTGTTTGACAAAATTTTTTTCAATTGTTTCTTTGTTTCAATTTCATTGATTTCAGCTCTGATTTCAAATGATTCCAAAACCAGACAAAGCCACATCAAAGAAAGAAAACTTCAGACCAATATCTCTAATGAATATAGATGGAAAAATAAATAAAATTCTGGCAAATCAAATACAAAAAGATAGTGCACCATGATCAAATAGGGTTCATCCCAGGGATGCAAGGTTGGTTCAACATATGGAAATCAATAAATGTAACTCATCACATCAATAGACTTAAAGATAAGAACCATATGGTCATCTCAATAGATGCAGAGAAAGCATTTTTAAAAATGCACCATTTCATGTTCAAAACACTAAGAAAACTAGAGCTATCAGGAACATACTTCAACATTGGAAAGTCTATCTATGCTAAGCCCCAGGCCAACGGCATTCTAAATAGAGACAAATTGAAAGCATTTCCTGTAAGAACTGGAATGAGACAGGGATGTCCTCTTTCACCTCTTCTATATAACATAGTTCCTGAAACTCTATCCAGAGCAATCAGACAGATGAAAGAAATTAAAGGAATCTAAACAGGAAAAGAAGTGCCCAAATTATCACTCTTCGCAGACGACAAGAGTCTATATCTAGAAGACCCAAAAAATTCCACCAGAAATCTCCTAAAACTAATAAATGAATTCAGCAAAGCAGCTGGATATAAAATCAACACCCAAAAATCAAAGGCATTTCTGTACATCAGAGACAAATCCTCAGAAAGAGAAACTAGGAAATCCACCCCATTTACAATAGCTTCAAAAAAATAAAATACTTGGGAATCAACTGAACAAAAGTGGTGAAAGACCTCTACAATGAAAACCACAGCATGCTAAAGAAAGAAGATGGGAAAATCTCCCTTGTTCTTGGATAGGCAGAATTAATATTGTCAAAATAACCATACTACCAAAAGCACTATACAGATTCAATGCAATCCCAATCAAAATCCTAGTGACATACCTCATAAATATAGAAAAAGCAATCATGAAATTCATCTAGAAAAATAAGAGACCCAGAATAACCAAAGCAATCCTTAGCAAGATGAGTGAAGCAGGTGGCATTACTGTTCCAGACCTTAAACTATACTACAGAACAATGGTAACAAAAACAGCATGGTATTGGCACCAAGTTAGAACTATAGAACAATGGTACAGAATAGAGGACACAGAGAATAATGCAGATAATTACAGTTGTCTAATATTATATTAGACAAAGGCGCCAACAACATGCAATGGAGAAAACATAGCCTCTTCAAAAAATAATGCCGGGAAAACTGGAAATCCATATGTAACTAAATGAAATTAAACCTCTATCTCTCACTATACACAAAGCTCAACTCAAAAGTTTATCAAGGACCTAGGAATTAAACCAGAAACCTTGTTCCTAATGGAAGAAAAAGTAGGCCCAAATATCCATCATGTAGGATTAGGCACCAACTTCCTTTATAAGACTCTTACAGCACAAGAATTAAAACCACGGATCAATAAATGGGATGGATTCAACCTCAAAAGCTTCTTCTCAACAAAAGAAACAATCAGTGAGGTAAAGAGAGAGCCTACAGAATGGGAGCAAATCTTTACCACAAGCACATCAGATGGAGCACTAATCTCTAGGATACATAAAGCATTCAAAAATATTAACACCAAAAAAAAAAAAAACCTAATCAGTAAATGAGCCAAGGAATTAAACGGACACTTCTCAAAATAGGATGTTCATTCAATCAACAAATATATGGAAAAATGTTCAACAGCTCTAGCAATTCGAAAAATGCAAATCAAACCTACTCTAAGATTTCATCTCACTCCAGTCAGAATGGCAGCTATCAAGAATACAAACAACAATAAGTGTTGGCAAGGATGTGGGGGAAAGGCACACTCATACACTGCTGGTAGGGACTGCATATTGGTGCAGCCAGTCTGGAAAGCAGTATGGAGATTCCTTGGAAAGCTTGGAATGGAGCCAACATTTGACCCAGCTATCCCACTCCTCGGTCTATACCCAAAGGACTTAAAATCAGCATACTGTAGAAACACAGCCACATTAATATTTATAGCTGCTCAATTCACAATAACTAAACTGTGGAATGAAACTAGATGCCCCTCAATAGATGAATGGATAAATAAACAATGGTATATATACACAACGGAATATTACTCAGCATTAAGAGAGAATAAAATTATGGCAATTACAGGTAAATGGATGGAGTTGGAGAATATCATGCTAAGCAAATTAAGCCAAACCCAAAAACCAAGGGACTGATATTCTGATAAGTGGGTGCTGATCTATAATGGGGGGGGGCTGTTGAGAATGGAGGAACTTTGATTGAGCCAAGGGTAGGGAGAGAAGGGGAGGGGAGATGGGAGTAGGAAAGATATTGGAATGAGACAGACATCACTAGCCTAGGTACATGTATGACTGTACATGTGGTGTGATTCTACATAATGGAAAAAACATAAAGTTGTGCTCCATTTGTGTACAATGAATTGAAAAGCTTTCTGCTTTTATATAACTGATTGGAACTAATACAAAATAAGCTAAAAAACCCCACCTCACTTCTTTGTAAATTAGCCAGTCTGTGGTCTTCCATTGTAGCAATAAAAACCAGAGAAAGACAGGGCTCCTGAGGGAAGCAGAGATCAGGAGCTCAGGGTTGAGCACCAGAGCCAGACACACTACCTCCCATGGAGAGCTTGCTTCCCTCCAGACCCACGGAGAGAACAAACCAAGGCAATTCCTCCTGATGGATGTTTGAAAGCAGGTCACTGGGAGGGACTACTGCTGGTACACTGTCCTCTGGCTAACAGGTTCTTTAACTCCCATCTTGTTCCTTTCATTTCTTTGTTACTAATAATCATATCTTACTTTTCAAACTCCACAGAATATTATTCCAATAGATGCTGTCATGAAGCTGCAGTATGAAGAAATCCATGGCCTGACTCACTTGAGCAGCCAAGTAGGATCTAGGCTCCCTTGTCCAGGCTTCACATACTCCCCCAGAGGGCCCAGAAAAGGCCCTGTCCCCAGCAAATAAATGGTATGTTTGGTAAAAACAAAACAAAACAAAAAATCCTTGCTGCCCCTAGGTTTCAACTCTGGATGGAAGAGCTCTATATGCCAGGGCAGTGCCAGAGCATACACTACATGCTGCCTGTAACCACAGGATGCACAGGACAGAGCAGAGAGCATCAGCACTCCACAAGTTAGCAGGTAAAACAGAGAGCCTGATATTTCAAAAAAAAAATAGGAGGAAAGCAACATTTCCTGTATACACCTGCTTTTAAAATTATAGCTTAAAAGCTATGCTTCAAGTGAGTAAGTAAATAAATAAGAATAGAACTTATTTATAAAAAAAAAAGTTAGAAGTCCCAGTCTCATAAATAAGTCTAGGTCATATAAGTCCTAGTCTTATAAATAAGTCAAGTCTAGTCTTTAGCAAGAACATCTCATTACACAAATCAAAAAAGTACATTAGGTTTACAAGGCATACATGTGGAAAAGGAGTTTCCTATCTTCAATATCATCCTCCCCAGCCCAGTAGTAGTAATAAGCCCTTTCCCTGGTAATTGGTAAAAATTTGATTTGGGGACCTGCATTCACATTTTTGCCTTCAGTGTGGTTTAGATTAATAGTACCCAATACATTTCATAATTTAATTATAATCTTTCTTTATGATACCATCTTTATGAAATCCTTCTTTCTAAAACAACAAAAAACAATCATCTTCTTTGGTGTTGGAGGGATTGAACCCAGAACTGCATACCTGGTAGGCAAGTGTTCTACCACTGAAATACACTCTCACCCATTAAAAAAAAAATCAGTTTTGGGTTGGGGCTGGGGCTCATTGGCAGAGAGCTCACCTGGCATGCATGACAACCAGAGCTATATCCTCATCACCACATAAAAATAAAATAAAGGTATTCTGTCCATCTACAACCAAAAAAATATATATTAAAATAAATCAGTTTTGATACCTTCCTAATGTGTCAAGATATGTGAGCTCAACATGGTAGAAAGGTGTCAAAGCTGATTTGACACCTGAAGTAGTTGGATGTAACCTGACTTTTGCTGTAAAGATATTAATTACCAACATAGAATAAGGTAAAAATTATAAGATGTTCCCTAAGTAGAAGACACCTTACCAACAAGGTTATCTTTCTTCCCAATCCTCTATTGGTCTTAAACTATAATTTCATTTTTTTGACTTACAACATTAGCTAGAAACTCAGTAAGATGTTAAAAAGGAGTAGCAGGAGAGGATACCCTTGACTGTTCATGATCTTAGTGAGAAAGTTTCAAGTTTATTATCATTAAAAATGAGGTAGGGGTGATATGGCAGGTGGCAGGAGCAGAACATCAGAAAATGAAGGATATAGTCACTGCCAAAGCAGCAGCCCTCATTCAACTCCAAGAAGAAAATAAAAAATTGCCCACCAAATTGAAAATAGTGATCAAGATATGTTTAGAGAAACTCTGCAGAATTTATCTCATATCATTAGAGAAAAAGACATTGAAATAGATGTACTAAGTCAGAAATCTCAGTCTTTATTGGAAGTTTTACGAATCTCTGGCACTGGTCATGAGGTTCCAGGTGTTAATAGTCATCAGTTCGAGGAGCTCCTACAACAATGTGATGAATTAAAACAGCAAGTGAAAAAAATGGAGGAATGGAAACTACAGGTAATGACAGATCTCCAAAATCTGCATCATAAGTCAGCCCAACACGAGAAAGACCTTGTTCAACTTGAAGCCCAAGTTTTGGTTGACAGTGGTAACAGTTCTAAATTAGAAGCAGACTACACTGGCCTCATCCACTGTTATGAGCTGAACGAAATCAAACTCAAACATTTTGGGCACATATTAGGCCAGGTGCAGCTGTACCTAGGGCAACTTTGCAGCAGCAAAAATCTCTTTTTAGGAAAATTTGATATGATTACACCCCAGCTCTCCTCTACCTCATCAACTTACTCCCAGTCAGCAGAGGTCAAAGAGCTGAGAAAATCACTGCAAGAAAAAGAGGCCACCATTAAGGAGCTCTCCAGGAGAATTACCATAGGTTGTCTGTTGTAACTGCTGCCACCTCCAAGAGAGAAAAGACAGAACATGAACAAACTGATTCTGCAATTAAACAGCTCAAGGAAAAACAAGATCTGTTACAAAATTTACTGAAAGAAAAAGACCTCTTAATTCAAGCCAAAAGTGATCAGATACTTTCTTCAAATGCGAAGTTCACTAACAAAGTGATTGAAAATGAGTTGTTGAGGCAAGCAATAACAAACCTCAAGGAGAGAATATTAATTGTAGAAATGGACATTTCTCAACTAAAAGGGGGAAATGTAAAAATAGTATAAACATCCAAAGAAAAGGAAATGGAGTATCAAGCATTACAAGAGATGAACTTGAAGTTCTCTGTGATGCTGCGAGAACAAGAGTTGGAGTACAAGTTGATGAAGGAGAAAGCTCTTGCCTTTGAGAAACTGTTACGAGAAATGGAACAGCGCAAGGCTGGGGAATTAAATCAGCTTTTAAATGCAGTTGAATCCATGCAGGAGAAGACCATTCTATGTCATCAGGAGACAGACCAACTCACCTTGTCCCTAAAGAGCAAACAGATGGAAAAGAGGATCCTCCAGCAAGAGGTTTAACACTTATGTGACAAAGAATTACACTTAAATCAGGAGGTACAAAGACTGAGGAGCCATCTTTTAGAATCAGAAGATTCTTACACCCAGGAAACTTGGGCTGCAGAGAAGACAGAGATGAACCTGACAGAGAAAGTCACACTATTGGAAAAAAAAAGCTACTTTCCTCTTCTAATTCAAGTCATCAAGCCAGTGTGCAGGTAGTAGAGTCCCTGCAGAAATAGGTGTGCTTACTCTCCCAAGAGAGATATGAGAATGCACTGCAGCTTTCGCTCTACCAGGAACAAGGAAAGCAGTATGCCATGTCATTAACTAACCTGTAGATGGTTCTAGAGCGTTTCCAACAAGAATAAAAAGCTATGTATTTGGCTGAATTAGAAAAGGAAAGACAACATATAACCAAATGGAAGGAAAAGGCAGAAAACCTAGAAAGAGAGGCATTATTATTACAGGAACATTTGGATGAAGCCAATGGTGTGTTGGATTCAGCAACCAGACTTACACAACAGTTACATCTAAAGGAAGAACAGATTGAAGGACTTAAAAGGCAAAATGAGCTCCAACAAGAAATGTTGAATGATGCACAAAAGAAATTGATGGACTCAGAAAATGGCACAGAAGGAAAAGTGGACAAAGCCCTAATGAGAAACCTGTTCATTGGGCTTTTCCATACACTGAAAAGTAAGCGTCATGAAGTGTTACAGTTAATGGAAAGCATCCTGGACATTCAAAAGAGGGAAATGGAGCAGTTGTTGAATGGAGATGATGGTGGTGTTACTAAGTGGATGATGGGTTGGCTTAGAGGAGGATCAAAAAATGTCCCCAGCACATCTTTGAGACTGAATGAGCAATGTCTGCTTAATAGTTCTTTTTCAGAACTTTTTGTTAAATTTCTGGAAACAGAATCTACTTCATGTGTTCCACCACCAAAACTTTCTGCTCCTGCCATGAAATGTCTAGACTCCAGAGGAAGGAGAAAGGAAGGTGAGAATGTACCAAGAAGTTTGAAAGATGCAGCAGAATTCAGAGCTGGTAGAAGAGCAGCTGTGAATCCATTCTTGGCACCACATTCTGCGGCTGTGCCACTCATTAGCCTAGATGGACTTGGACCTGGTGGGCCTGGGAATCTCCTTTTGAATCCCGTCGCAGACTTCATGCCCACCTTTACACCATTGCCAGTGTCCCCCGACAATAGCGCCAGGGTTGTACTAAAGGACCTTTTAAAGCAGTAGGTGATTCTCAAGGCAGAGATGATTTAGCACTTTAAAGAAGCCATAAACACTTTTTACTTTTACAAAGTGGCCTTTTTGAAAAGAAGTCATGTATTTGCTGGGAAAAAGAAAAAGAAAAAAGTTGGTATATAGAGCTACAGGTATTTTGACTCCTCCTCCCCCCCCCCCGTTTTTTTGGTGTGTGTGTTTTTGCTGTAGCAGTTAAAAAATTTATTTTTGTTTGTTTGCTGTAGCATTCTTTTTATATAAAATTTTGTTTTGATGCTATCAGGTAATCAATAGCAATAAAAACTATAGCTCCAACCTCTTTTTTATGATTATATGTGTTAAATGTAATTATATTAAGATAAAAATAATTCATTTATAACAGAAAAGAAGAAAGATCCAACCCATATGAAAAAGATATATATCTCAGAATTTGGGCTATATGCAAACAAAATATGATGTAGCAAAGTTGTGAATTCTTTAGTTTATAAAAGAAAACATTGTATAACTATTAAAAGAAAATTATAGCAGCCTGTGAGCTGGGCAAGTCCCCAACGCTGGGGAGAAGTCACTCAAGCCCAAGGGAGGAAAGTGGAGGGAAGGAGCCAAGGCCCGTGGAGTGACTGGGCCACTGGGGGCAAGTTCCTGGTGCAAGCCCAGGCCAGGCCCCTGCATTTCCAGGTGAAACACAACAGTTGGCACGAGCCCCACCCTTTGCGGAATTCTGGTGCTTGGGTCATAATTGACACCACAGCACTCTAGGAGGTTCAAAGTGGAGGTGGATACAGACGGAGGTGGCTCACTGAAATTGCTGAGATGTCGTCCTGGTTTAGAGGCCTAGGGTCTGGCTTGGGCCACTCCTTGGGTCAGGTCGGGGGCAGCTTGGCGTCCCTCACTTACCCTAACTACTTTCAGTTGCCTGAAAGCAAGACAGTTTGCACTACAAGATGTGTTGTCCACACTACAGTCAGTACATTCAGGAGCTGGTGGTATACCAGCAACCACTGAATGGTCTTTATATGGTTATGGGATCAGTCATCTTTGTTCACCTTTTCCTGATGATGACATGGACCTCAGTGATATCATTTCATCACAACAAGAAATCAACAGACTGTCAATTGAAGTTTCAAGACTTGAATCTCAAGTTAGCCATTAGAGGGATATATATAGCTCAGGCAAAGGGAACACATAATTCTGATCAAAGTGAAATGTGCAAACTACAAAATGCTATTAAGGTACTTGAACAAAACCAAAGTCAACGCCTTGATAATAATCAAGAGGAAATGTCAGTTTTGCAGAATGCACATCAACAGAAACTGGCAGAGATAAGATGCCGGTATCAAGAGGAATTAAATGACAAGAAAGAACTGAAAATCTGGTATATCGAGGTGACTCAGGAGTTACAGTAACTGATGAGTCTAAAATATGTGAGATGCAAAAAACTAATCAGGTTCTACAAACTAAAAACGTAGAGTCTGCAACAAACATGGAAGAACTTAAGGATCAAATAAAAAACATAAATAAAAAAATTATCTTTGGCAGAAAATGACAGACGCCTTGAAGAGAGAGAAAGAACAGCTCAGTATGGAAAAGTAACAAATAATTGAACAGTGTGAAAACTTGAAGCTGGAATGTAGTCAATTGCAGCCTTCTGTAATGGAGCAGAAAGATGAGGAAATTAAGAATTTGCAGAAAACCATTGATAAAAGCGCAGTTGCAGGAAGACATGCACAACACTCAGACAATTCTGATATTTTTCAAGAAACAAAAGTTAAAAGCCTTCCTATAGAAAATGGAAGTGAAAAACACGACCTGTATAACTATGAAACTGAAAAATTAGTGAAAGGAATCCAAGAATAAGAACTTGAGACTCAATTTCTAAATGAAAAGAATATATCCTTAACCAAACAGATTGATCAGCTGTCCAAAGATGAAGTTGGTAAACTCACTCAAGTTATCCAGCAGGAAGACGTGGAGATACAAGCTCTTCAGGCTAAAATTTATTCAGGTTCCTACACCCAGGATGTCATTTCCCTTCAGCAGCAACTGCAGACCCTCACTATGGAAAGGGAACAAATATTAGCTGTTTTGAATGAGAAGACAAAAGAAAATACCCAACTGCAAGCAGAACATCAGAAAATGAAGGATATACTCGCTGCCAGAGAAGCAGCCCTCATCCAACTTCAAGAAGAAAATAAAAAATTGTCCACCAAATTTGAAAATAGTGATCAAGATATGTTTAGAGAAACTCTGGAGAATTTATCTCATATCATTAGAGAAAAAGACATTGAAATAGATGCACTAAGTCAGAAATCTCAGACTTTTTTGGAAGTTTTACGAACCTCTGGCACTGGTCATGAGGTTGGAGGTGAGTTCGAAGAGCTCCTACAAGAACAGGCTGAATTAAAACAGTAAGTGAAAAAAATGGAGGAATGGAAATTTGATTTTCAAGCTCATTTAGGATAGGGACATGTGGTTTATCTTTTAAACCTCAAGCAATTTACAAATAGAAAAGAAAATATGAGTTGTGGCTTCTTTAAATAGTGCAGATAATGGACCTGAAGCAAATATTAATCATCTTTAGAAGAATTTGTATCAAAAGGCTGAGAACAAGATTTCCCACACCAGTCCCCTACAACTCTGCATATGTGGTTCCCTGTGATTTCATAATGCGTATAGGTTGATGTGATGACCACCACAACAGCCACCAGACACACTTGCATCCTAAGGATCAGTGAAATCACCTCCTTGCACCAGCACCAACTGTTTAGAACTTAAGAATTTTTTACCAGCCCATTATTAAAAAAATCCTGACTTGAGGCTTACGTGAATGAGGATGTTCATATTTATACTTTGAAGTTGTACATTGAAGAGCTTTTTCTTGCAGATTTTGTCAATGTAGCTATGCCTTAGAAAGAGAAACATTTGTATAGCAAGAAAATGTGAAAACAAGTCGAGTTCAAATATATAAAGAGCTCTGGCTTCAATTAGAGCGAAATTTGATTGTCAATTTTGCTGTGATTACAGTATACTTCTAATGTATTTAGGAGACTGGAAGTTTTGATTATGTGTTGATAGTTAAAACTTGTTTTTCTGAAAAATTAACAGGTGACACTGCTTCACACAGTGTCTCCTCTCTTCTTAGCTAACTTATTTAAATTGCCATTCTTCTGTACATTGTAAAGGAAGTTCCCATAGCAATTCATATAAGAAATGTTCAACGGTCTCCCGAGCTCTGCCTGGTTGACATCATAGATGCTCCTCTACTTAACCCCACCATAAATTGAAAACATCTCAAATTGAAAATGCACATACCACACCACGTGCCTAGAAGCACAGTGGTCTGCAGTGTGCTACTTGCTTCCCCCCAAGATCCTGTGGCTCATGGGGAGCTGCCACTCACTGCTGCTGCCCCATCAAGAGGGTGTTGCGCTGCATATTGCTAGCCTGGGACAAATGAAAATTCAAAATCTGAAGTATGAATTCTATGGGACATGTCCTACTTTTGAACTAACATAAAATTGAAAAATCTTTTTTTAAATAACAAGCATTTTTAGCTATTATTATAATTAAGTTAAAGCATTTATCTGTCCTCTGGCTTATTTAGCCATCTTCCTATAAGGATGAAAGAGTTATCCCAATTGCTTTCACATTACATAAGAACTTAGAGATTTACATCCCTGTGTATGTGGTTCTCTGTGATTTCATCATGTATATAGGCTTATGTGACGACCGCCACAACAGCCTCAAGACACACTTGCATCCTAAGGATCAGTGAAATCACGTCCTTGAACCAGCACCAGCTGTTTAGAACTTAAGAATAAGAGTATTTCTGAAATTTTTTATAAGTACATTATAAAAAATCCTGATTGAAGCTTAATTGTATGAGTATGTTCACATTTATACTTTGAAGTTGTACATTGAAAAGCTTTTTCTTGCAGATTTTGTCAACGTATATGTCTTAGAAATAAAAACATTTGTCTTTTTATACTATGCCATATTTCTTGAATTTTTGGCTCATGGTTTCTTACCATTTTCACTGTGTGGTCTACATTCTTTTCAGGGTTATATATTTTGTCTCCATTTTTTGAGGTCCTATCTTTCAAGTGGTCTAATCTGTTGGTGGTGCTTTCAATTGAACTTTTAATTTGATTTATTGTTTCTTTCATTTTAAGTATTTCTGTTAAGGATCTTCTGCTGTGCTGGCTATGGATTCTAATAATGTATCTTGATTTATTTGGGGCACTTTCTTCCCTTGTCTTTTCATATTGCTTGTGTGTCTTCCCTTCTAGCACTGTGGATCCTAGGCATTACTATTTTTACCCTATAGGCTTACAGTGCCCCTGCAGGAATCCAATCCCTCTCCTTTGAGGTGAAGGTTAACGTTATCAGATCCCAATATAAACAATATACACCCTAAAAACAAATGTTTGCATTAAGACATTTACATTTTTATCACAATGTACAGAAATGCTGAATTCAATTATTATCTACAATATACCCAGTAGGTTTGTAAAAGGGTTTACAGTTTCTAATGGTAGACAAAGAATTGGGGGTGAGGAGTAGGATGATATGCTGAGGAGGTAGGAGGTGAAGATTTAGAGTTGTTATATCTTAGGAAGTGTGAAAGAGAAATCTAAAGAGGAAGATTAGTAGCAGGAGAAAGGAGAGGAAGTAAATTTTGGTAGACAAGTGGGAAGACAATAGAGTACATAAAACAAACACATATATATCAAGAAAAATTTTTTAAAAATGTTAAAATAGCAGAAGTTGGTGGGATAAAAGAAAAAAATTAAGACATAAAAAAGAAGAAAAATAATGTACAATACAACTGTAATACACTATTCAGACATCCCAGGCCTCAAAATCACAATTCATGCAAAATACTTGATTTTCCATATGTTGGGGATGTGAGGGCAGCAGAAAGGAGAGGGAGAGGGAAAAGAAAAAAAGAAACAAAATCTTGAAGACACAAGGCTTGTTTTGGTTGGAAATCAGTATCTTTCCTGCTTCCCTTCTCATCCAATAGGAGAGGTCGTCTGTTGTTAGCTGGTATCTGTGCCCTCAGGATGGTGAAGGTAACCAGGGTGCCACTGTGCCAGGTTAGCAGCTGCTGGGGAGAAGGGGGGAGTCAGAAACTGGGTACCTGGAAGATGGTGATGAAGGTGACCCAAGATGGAGGTTCATGGGGCGGGGGGGGGGGTGTCCCGTCTGGTGGGGGAATCCTGGTGATGGTATTGGATGTTGAGTTTAGCTACCAGCTCTATGGCTTGCAGTATGGGCTGACTTCAGAGCCTGTGTGAAGTTTCCAGGTGCAGGCAGGTAGGGGGCTATGTCCACCGCTGCAGAGTCCCAAGATGACGGCTACTGGGGTGCTCCATGTTGGTAGATGGGGGTCCACACGGGGGTGGTGGCCGGAGTTCCTACTCGTGGGAAGCTGCTGGGTGTCTTCAATGGGAGCAGCATCCGTGATTTCTGTTCAGTGGGTGGCCGAACGTCCTTTGCAGGTGTTACTGCAGCTGCCTATGATCTCACTTGGGTACCCAGTAGTCCTGTGTGGGTGAGTAGTTGGGAGACCTATTCTGATGCTGTGGCCTGGAGTCCTGGAGGAGCTCAGTGCTTCCTATTCTGGTGGGGACAGGAATATAGCTTACAGAGAACCAGTATTCTCACTATTTTGCATCCTAGGTCAGGGACCAATGCAGAATACTGCCTCCCTCTGCTCTGCCATCTTAAATCTCCTCGCTTTTAATTTTTGAGACAAGGGCTCACTGAGTCCCTTAGGGCTTTGCTAATTTGCTAAGGCTGGCTTTGAACTCATGATCCTTCTGCCTTAGCCTCTTAAGCCACTGGGATTTTAGGCATGTGCCACCATGCCTGGATGAGTATTTTTAACTTTTGGTGAAAGAAAAAAAAATTAAAATGAATGGAAAAGCATAGAATTTTTATTAATGTCTTAATATTTAAAAAGAAGCTCAGGGCTGGGGAATCTAGCTCATTGGTAAAGCTCTCATGTGGCATGAGAGAGGCCCACTATTTGATTCAGCACTGAAAACAAATATATATCAATATAAATAAGCCTAAGATGTGCCATCAGTCCCTTTAGCCACCCCCAGGGACCATGGAGTCTATAATCACGGCCCACAACTCACAGGAGTAAAATGGCAACTCTGGAAAACATCGTTTGCATTTCTACATTCTGAGCAACTGGTCACTAAAATAGATGAAAATTATAGGACTTGACTGAAATTGTAGGACTGTTCAGGTTCCCACAGGATCCCATCCCTGGCCTCAGGGAATGTTCAAGTGTGAGAACCCACAGGCTGCCTCCCTGGGGAATCCAGTATTTGCTCTGTTGGGAAACAGTGGTGCAGTTCACCTGAAGCCTGTGGCAGGGCTCCTGTCCCTAGTGTCCTGCACCCCAGGAAGGGTACCCAAGGGACCCTGAGGAAGCCCAGCTGTATGGCCCAAGCCCCACCTCTGGGCTGGGAGCTGGGCTGAGTTGTACTATTCTGATCTCCCATTCAAGAGGGTTCAGTTCCTGGGTATGGCAGGATGGGTGGTCCAGGCAGAGGGATGTGAGAATACTGACGAAATCACAGCGGGAAGGCTGCTTGGCCAGGCCTTCGGAGGGAGATGGCGGTCAGGAGATGGTCATTTGTGGGGACTGGGAGGAGTGGACAGAAGGGCTGTGGGGTGGTCCTGGGCAGTTGTTGATGTTCCTGATGTTCCTTCTGGAACTGGGAGGTGGTTATATGGGTGTAACCACTTCATGAAAATTTATGATTTTTTTGGTGCCCTTTTCGGTATGTTTGTTATCATCAAGGTTTGGAAACACTCCCAGGACCTTAATGTAGCCCAGGAGGATTGAGGGAGCCACCAGAATGGCAAGATGGATTTTCTCACCAACCTAGAAGCAGGGTTCAGCATTTATATCTAATTTGTAAGGGGAAGTGAAAAAAACTGGACATGTCTTCTTACAAGAGGGAAAAGAAGACTCATTTGCCCAACATCCCCATCATCCATGGTTTCACAGTAGGTTTTCTGTTTCTCTTGGCTGCCTGGGTCACTCTGGCTGGTTTCTGTGTCTCCCTGGCCACTGGCCTGGGCAATAGGACAGCTAATGCAGACTTGTGTTAAAGATTGCCTGCTCTGAGGAACTCTGTCCTGCCTTTAACACCCATGGAGGAAGGAGAGGTGGTTATTCAATTAACCTGAGTTACTATGGATATAAATTTTACTGAACATTTATCATGTGGTCAGCTAAAATGGAGTTGGGAGATAAAAACAAAAAAAAAAACCTGTGAGGAAGGTATTTTTTTTATTAGCCACATATTACAGAAAATAAAACTATATGCAAACGAGAACTTGGCCCAGGTTGGGGGCTACATGGGTTTGATAGTTGCCCTTCTTCTTATTTCTCTTCTTTTTTTTTCTTCTTCTCCAACCCCACCCCCTCCCCGACCTGTGGTACTAGGGATTGAGCCCAGGGACACTCTACCACTGAGCTATATCCCCAGACCTTTTTATTTTGACATAACATCTTGCTAAATTGTTAAGGCTGGCCTTGAACTTATGATCCTCCTGCCTCAGTTTCCTGAGTTGCTGGGATTACAAGTATGCACCAACGTACTGGCTCTCTTTCCCTTTTTTAGATACTGTCAAGACCAGAACAAAGGGAAATGCTATGGAGGCCATCTGGAAGGGCCTTCAATGATGCCCATTATGGCTGGTACCTCCTCACCTGGTGACATGTGCATTGGCTTCTCAAGATTCAGCCTGCATGAATGGATGCAGTGCCCTCATAAAGGAGACCCAGGAGAGCTCCCTTGTCACTTCCACCATATGAGGACACAGAGTTCTGTCCTTCTTTGAACCACGAAGTGGCTCTCACCAGACACTAAGTCAGCCAACACTTTGAACTTGGACTCTACCCTACAGAACCATGGGAAATGTCTGTTGTTTATAAGTCACTTGGGCTATGGTATGTTGTCCAGCGGCCTGAATGAACTAGGACATTGTAAGAAAAATAAAAAACCAGTAAACATGTCTCCCTAATGGAACTGCTGACACCCTCCTGACATCATTCTGTGCACATGCACATGAGTGCAGAGGTATACACACCCACATATGAGCACACATATGAACACATAGCACACATGAACATGAGCACATATGAGCACACACACACATTTTCATAACAGGTTGGCTATGCATGCTGTTTTCCACACACTTGTGTTGGTCTTTGGTGTCAAAGACTTCCCATGACCTGTAAGATAAAGGTCCTTGGGGCACTCACTCACTGCTTTTCTCAGTGCCTCTCCTAGGTTGTCCTTTACTAGCTACCTGGACACTCCCTGTCTTGGCTGTCTGGAAAGCCTCACAGATATGCAAACTTTTCCCTGTATCTCTTTCCTTCCTTTGAAGCTGCCACTCCCCTGCCTGGTAGGCCTTTTCCCTGTCTTCTAATAGATTTCTAATACATCACTTTCAAGGCTGAGTTCAATTGCAGTGTCTCTCAGACCTCTCTCACTCCAGAGGGAAGACAGGGTATTCTCCCATTCTGAGTCCTCCCCGGCCATGTTCCCTTTACACACTTCCCACCATGTGGGATTTTGCCTGTGGCTACCACATTTCTTTGTTCATTCCTGGGGGAATGAGACTCTCAGGCTTTTTGAGTGAAAGTAATAATTATAATAAGTTAGAAACATTGTTATTTATTTTTTTTAATTTTTTATTGTTGGTTGTTCAAAACATTACATAGTTCTTGATATATCATATTTCACACTTTGATTCAAGTAGGTTATGAGCTCCCATTTTTACCCCATATACAGATTGCAGAATCACATCAGTTACACATCCATTGATTTACATATTGCCATACTAGTGTCTGTTGTGTTCTGCTGCCTTTCCTATCCTCTACTATCCCCCCTCCCCTCCCCTCCCCTCCCCTCTTCTCTCTCTGCCCCCTCTACTGACATTCATTTGTCCCC